TGTCAAGTTTGTAAGTCGTTATGATTATAGTCAATTCAATATCCTTTTTATATTTCTCATTTTACCCAAAAAAAAAAAAAAAAAAAAAAAAAAAACAAATACGATTATTGTTCTTTAAAAGGATAAGCGTATATTTGTACAATAATAATGCTATATACGTAGTACGGAGTGTCGTATATATTTTGTCTAAGTAAACAAGAAGCTGCCTAAATTTAACCGTTCAGCAATTATGAATATTCTAGCGCATTGATAAAGAAACACCAACTCTGAAGACAATTCTCTCAATCGGCCAATTTACAAACTTAATACTTCCATTGTTCGTTTTCATTACTATTAACATACTTCTTTTTTTTTTTTTTTTTTAATTGCTGCTATCCTCATAAGCTCATAATTTGAGAATCAAATTAGATAACATAAACTGATAAATAATTAAAATAATTAAACCATACATAAACCGTACCATTAAAAAAATTAAAAACCTTCAATTTGTTAGCTTAGGAAAAATTACTGCTAGACTTTCAAATTGATAAATTGCAATTAGTATGTGGTAAAGTAATTATAAATGATCGAATTTGTTAGAAAAAATTTCAGCTAGATTTTCAAATTTGATTTTTCCAATTTGTTTAATTATAACATAAACTGGTAAATTACTTCAAAGAAAACTTTTGCAATTTGATTTTAAAGAAAGAAAAATACTGCTAGACTTTCAAGCTAGGCCGGGTTGTATGAATTGTACGAGTAAATTGTAATATTGTATATCTACAATTCTATATGTATTTTTAGATGATGACTGATTTAGGTCTATTGAGCTACTTTTTAGGGATTGCGGTGACCCGTACTTCTTCTTATTTGCTACTTTCACAGGTAAAGTATGCACAGGAGATTTTAGAGCGCGCAGGTATGGGCTCTTGTAAACCTGCAGCTACTCCAGTTGACACTAAGTCCAAACTTAGAGCAGAAATGGGGCCACCATTTCGAGATCCTACTTTGTATCGCAGTTTAGCCGGTGCTCTTTAAATTAGTATCTCACTTTCACTAGGCCAGATATTGCCTATGCGGTACAACAGATGTGTCTTTTTATGCATGATCCCCGGAAATCTCATTATGATGCATTGAAATGCATTCTGCGTTATGTTCATTGATCATGGCTTGCATTTATATCCATCTGCTCCTCATCGTTTGATTACTAACGCTGACGCTAACTGGGGAGGTTGTCCCGATACCCGTCGTTCAACATCGGGTTATCGTTGCTTTCTTGGGGACAACCTCATTTCTTGGTCATCTAAGCGCCAGCATACTTTATCTAAATTGAGTTCAGAAGCAGAATATCAAGGCGTCGCAAATGTTGTCTCTGAGGCACGCTGGCTCCATAATCTTTTACTTGAGTTACATTGCCCTCTTCGATAGGCTACTATTGTTTATTGTGATAATGTCAGTGCTGTCTACCTTTTTGGCAACCCGGTACAACACCAGCGCACCAAACTTGTGGAGATGGATATTCATTTTGTTCGAGAAAAGGTTGCTTTGGGTCAAGTTCGGGTTCTACATGTTCCTTTTAGATCTCAGTTTGCGGACATTTTCACAAAAGGTTTGCCACGAGACTTATTTTTGGATTTTAGATCCAGTCTTAGCGTACGACCTCCTCCCACTATGACTGCGGGGGTGTGATAGATATTGTAGTGTGATAATACACTACTAGAAATAGGTCTATTTCCGACGGAATATTTATCCATTCTCTCTCACGTTTCTCTTCTCCTCTCCTCGCCCTCCTCTTCTCACGTTTCTCTTCAACACAACCACCAGCACCGTGCTCACCGGACGTCACCTCCACCAGCACCGTGCTCACCGTACACCACCACCACTCTCATTCAAAGTTTATGGTTTTTTTGTTCAAACTCGACCTTGAAAATTCCAGATCTGGAATTTTCATGGTCGAGTTTGACCATTTAAACCCAATAAAGATGAAATTTCAAAAGGTATGTTTATTTTTATTTAGTATTGTGAGTTAATTTTGAATTCGTGGGTTTATTTGTGATTTGGTTTTTTTTTTTTTGGCTTTTATTTTGAATTTCTGAGTTTTTTTTTTACTGATTTTGATTTTTGTATATTCAATTTTTATGTTTGAGTATTAGATCTGTTTTTTTTTATTTTTTTATTTTTTTTATTATTTTTTTTATTTTGATTTTGTATATTCAATTTTGTATTATTTAATTTGCTTATTAGATCTGTTTCCGTTTTTTTTTTGTTTTTTTTTTTTTATTCTGGGTGGCGGTGGTCTGGGTGAAGGTGGTGGCTGTCAGAATGTGGTTTAGGTGGTGTGGGGTTAGGCGTGGTGTGGGTGTGCATGGGTGGGTTGGAGGTGGTTAGGTGTGGTGGTGGGTGTGGGTGTGGGCGTGGGCCGGTTTGGGCTGGTGGTGTTGAAAAGGGTTATTGGGTGGCTGAAGGTGGTGGTGCTGTTTTTTTTTTTTTTGTTTTTTTTTTATGCTGTTTTCGACGGAATTTCCGTCGGAAGTTTTCGGCGGATTTGTAGTCCGTCGAAAATTTCCGACGGACTTTCCGGTGGCCGGAACTCCTCTTCCGACGAGAAAATTTCGTCGGAATTCCGTCGGAAAACTCTGTTCCGACGGAAAAGGCCGTTTTTCCTACAAATGGGTTTACGACAACCTGTTCCGATGGAATTTCCGTCGGAAACGGGTTTTCCGACGGATTTCAGGGTGTTTCCGACGGAATTTTTCCGTCGGAAATGGCCTGTTTTCTAGTAGTGATATTTGTCACAGATTAGGATAATATTTGTAGATATTATGTATCCTTATTGTACGAGGTTTACTATAATTGTAACACTGTATATATATTGATCAATGATACACACTCCATATTGAGGAGTTTTCCCGAAATCCAACATAAAAGCTTACGTAAATATAAAACGACTTCAACATTTTCAAGTTTGAACAATCATTCAAATATACGCGCGTTGTCAAAGTAAAATGCTTGGAATTCACGTAATTGTGTAATGTTTTATTAAACTTAAATACTATTGAAACAACCAAACAATATTGGTATTCTAATAATTGTCTTGTACTTATAATAATTGTATCAAATTAGCAAACGATATTTTTCCAACACAATTGGCGATTGTTTTTTTTTTCTTTTTTTTTTTCTTTTTTCTCAACGGCGGTAGGTCATTGTTTTCCATATGACCATACATGATAGTGGGCTACACTTACTCAAGAAGTTTTGGATATGTTGAAATGTTTTACGAAGTATAATTGTACGAGTATAAAATAAATAAGATGACTTCAAACTTTCAAAGTTAATAGACAATAACTATCAACTACACCAAACGAAGTTTGGTGGAGTTGGTGGGGAACTTACCTTGTGATTTTGAGGTCACAAGTTCGAGCCCCACTAACTACAAAATGCTTGGGAGTGGAGGGATTCCCATACCTCCCCCCTTTACTCTAAAGCACTAATCTGCGATCCTACGGAGTAGGCTATTTGAAATTAGCACAAAAAAATAGACTAATTGAAATTAATGGCCTGGTAAAAAATGAAATGGTATAGATAGACAAAACCGGTCGAAAACCCGAACCGAGCAAACTAGTTTGTATCGGTTCTAGAATACATTTTTATACTTGTCAAAAAAATTTAATTATTATTATGAAATACTAAAATATATACTACCTCATTTTCATATTATTTGCAATGATTAGACATTTCCACTGTATTTAATTAATTGCATCACTTCTCTAAACTCGGAGTTTTAGAAAGAATAGTAGAAAATATTATTTTATGATTGAAATGGGATTAGTTGAAGAATAGAAAAATTTGAAAAACCAAAAGTGAGTATAAATGGGGAGGAGAGTAGGGATGGCAATTTTAAATGGATATCCGCAAATCCGATCCACCCGATATAAATAAACGGACGAAAATCTGCGTTAAATGGATGAAAGGCGGGTGATGGATGAAGCGGGTGACGTATCGGGTCGGATTCGGGTGGAGCTCCGTTTCATCCATCACCCCAATCCATCATCCGTTTATCACCCGCCATCCATCCAAATATATATATACATATGTTTTTGACCTTATATATTCTAATATGTATATATATTTCTACAAAAAAATTGTTTGTAAAAATTATTATATTTTATTTTACAAAAATATAAAATCCCCCATCTAATATATACTGCACTACTCCTATATATGTATATTCTGCATGTTTTTTTTTTTTTTTTTTTTTTTTTGTGTTTGATTATTGCTAAAGTTTGGAATTAGAAGATAATAAATTATTTATTATTCAAGTTTAACATTGGATAAAAGGTTTTTTTAATAAATAATATATTAGATAGTTAGAGTGGGGATTATTATAATTATCACCCGCTAAGCATCTGATCCACCCGTTTCACCCGCGGATGACGGATGGGTCGGATGCGGGTGATGGATTTTGCGGGTGACGGGTGGATCGGGTGGAGCGGGTGGTGGATTCGGGTGGATGCGGGTGAAGCTCCATCTGACCCGAATCCGATCCGTTGCCATTCCTAGAGGAGAGAGCACCTTAAAAAATTAAGATATAATATAATGGGATCACTAGTGGGGAGGAAAATAGTAGAATATTGTTTAAAGTTTCAAAAAAAAATGAAAAAAAAAGGTTAAATGGGCAATTATTATTTATATATGGTCGCTAAAGAAAAGTGGAGCAATAATTTAAATATGAGTAAAAAAAAACTCAAACATCTATAGTTTTCCTAACTTATTAAGAATATTCTTAATTATGTTTAAAGATTGTAAGCATAGTTATAAGCAAAAAAAAAAAAAAAAAAAAAAAAAAAAAAAAAAAAAAAAAAAAAACTGAGATCAGGTCTAAGACCTGTTTTTATATGGTGTAGACCGGACCGGACCAAAGACCGAAAAAAATTGATTTCTTGACCCGGAGCAGTCTTACAGGAGTATAAGATAGTTACAGACTTACAAGATTATAAGATAATCTGAATTGAAAACTGAAATATTATTATCAATAATTTAGTACACAATGCTTAGTAGCAAAGGAGTAGATGATCGATATCGATAAAGGATCTACTCGATCTACTAAATTACTATTAGTAATTTTATTTATATTTCTTTTGACATCAGGAAAGCTCAAAGTCGTCAAAGAAATTACAATTATAATTTAAAGCAGGACAAAAACAATTAATGCAACAAAGTGAGCTTGACAAGCTCTTATTACAAATCAGACCAGCAACTCGAAAAACAGTAAAACATGGAAAGTTTTATCGTATGTGATAGAGATATACGCATAATTTCTTCCACTAACGGTGCTTAGGAACTGATGATGATTGATGAGTATGTGATAGAGCATAATATTAACCAGCAAAGGCTGCAACAAGTAGATCTTTGCCGCTAGAGCCAACTATTTTTCCAATCACCGAGGTTCCGGTCTCATTGTCATGAACATTAACTGAGGAACCAGCAACGTCCAACTTGGGCTTAATATCATTGTCCCAGTCGAGGTTCTTGAATTTGGCTTCAAGGCCACACCTTGCATAAATCTGACCAATAATAAACGTACAAGTCAAAATACTGCAACTAAAAATAAGCGGATGAAGTACTCCTATAAGATAAGCTAACAAGATCTCGTCAACAAAAAAAAAAAAAACTAACAAGATGCATATACATATTAAGTTACGATTTGACTTAAAGTGTGAGCAGAAAATGTCTAATCGTTAGTGTCTTACCCTCAATCCATTGGCCTTGGAGTCTGACCAAGCAAGAAGCCAGCCACAAGGATCACCACGGCGATTCCTGCCCGTGTACAGCACCCCTGCTGCGGCTCCCTTAGCCCCGACGGCTGCTTGTACAAAGTAACCTAGATTAGTAAGAGGACTTGGACACCTTTTGACAAAGTATCCATCCCATTTCCTGCGATGATGATCATCAGTAATTTCCAAGGGTCCTTTTGTCAAATTCTTCAAGGTGCCTGCTAAAGCCGTCAAACTTAATGAAACCTCATTCTTGTCTAGGCCCTCTTGTTTAGCAACGACAGCAACGGATTTAGTTACGACATCCTCAGCGAGGCACCAACTCTCTCCTTTCTCTATCATCTCATCTAGAGTCACTATCTCCTCGTCGTTCAGGTGCACTTCTTCCCCCTTCATCATCTCACTTTCAGTTGATGATCCTGACATTTCCTTAGCTTAGCTTAACTGTAACGTTATTTCATACATGCATTATTATTTATTCATTATATAACAAATTACCTATATTATGATCTGTTTATGATTATTTGTAACGAAAGGGTATAACATATATATTTGTAAGAAAAAAGAAAAAGCGGAATTGTAATAAAGAACATACAATAGATAGACAAATGAAGAAATTACCTCAACTACACAAAGACTATAGAGCTTGACTCGAAAAAGTGTATGTGCTTCGTTGAAGATAGCTAATTAATGCGATTTTGATGATGTATACTAGTTTTCTCTGTGGGTTTTTATAGACTTGATAGTAGGGTACTTTTGGCACATCAAAAAGCATTATAAATAAATAAATTTGACATCATTGCAAATACGTGGTATTAAAAAATGTGAAGTGCTGAAGTCAATATAATAAATTGATATAGTCATATTTGTAACATAACATTTTCCTTGATTTAAGTCATGATTTTAAATACTATTCTCTATATTATGTAATTATGTTCAATCGATCAATTAAGTTCACTGAATTTCTTTTGTGTCCATTAATTTTATGAAAAAGGTTTGTTGATAATACTTTGAAACAAATTTATCAAGATACCATTTGACAACATATATATGTATTTATATATGGAGTACTCTGCATGTAATAGTTTAAGTTCAAGTTTGAAATGCACAAAATTTGGCTTTATGATGTCGAATATGGTAATTACTTTGGGACAAAACATTTTGTATTGTTCCTCATATCCTTTTAAAAAGTCCATGCAATACCATTGTGATGTTAATTAAATTTGTTTTGAGCTAATTAAAATTACTGTTTTAAAACTTCTTTGATTTACTCAGACAAGATATAAGGTGGTATAAATTTGGAATAGCTAATATTCTTAAATTATATACTTTGTATTGTTTATAGAACATTAATTTTCAATTGTTTACCAAAAATTCTTAAGGCTTGGGTATTAAAAATCCAAAGGGATTATGGCTAATAGTCTAATTATCCGTAGTATAAATAAAATTAAAACAATATTTATTTCTTGATAAATTAATGTGTACAAACAGTAGCTTCTTTCTTAATTTTTTTTTTTTTTTTTGACCATAAGCTTCTTTTTTTAATTAATACGGCCTGCCTTAGCCTGTATTTGTATATTTGCATTTATGTAGTATACTATGTATATTGTTGAAATCCCACTATATACGCTGTGCGCTTGTGCTCACGAGCTAAGGTCGGAACAAATAATTATAAAAGAAACTGAAATTTAAAGTCATAATTGTTTAGTGCAAGTGACATTTTGGAAATAACTAATTGGTTGTTGGTGTATGTGTAACGGTAACTACTAATCAGAGATGAGCCAAAATTTCAGGAGCCTGATGTTAGGAATTGGCGTGTTCGAAATTGGACCAGTTGGTTTTAATTCCGGGAAATAAACTAAAGAACCGGTTGCAATTGATTTCAATTTCAATTCTTAGTATTTTGGAACCGGAATGGGTTGGGTACCCAATTACCCAACATATATTAAACTAAATGCGTAGTATATTTTTAAAACAAAAATACGTTAAATATCTAGTTAGTAAAAAAAAAAAAGAAAATTACTCATATTATTGATGGCTTGATGCCTGACATAAATAAAATAATTTAATGCATTCTCTCTCCGTATTTTTATACTTTAAGTGTTATACTTTAACTAGGCCTGTACAAAACTATCCGAAAATCCGATAATCCGATCCGCAACCGACCCGAAAAAGCAGATATCGGATGCGGATTTGGATATTGATTTTCAAAATTTCGGATATCCGATATCTTAAATATAAAGCCTAAAATAGTGAAATATATATAAAAATTTTAAATTGTTGATATAAAACTAACCCTATATTATTAACTTACTATAATATTCTTAATATATTTGATGATGATATTTATTGCAAAAGGACTACTATTTTGTTAAAATATGTTGTACAACTTAGGGGTAAAATCAGTGAAATTTAAAAAGTAATCATAATCAATTTTACTTAATATTGAATAATAGATATCCGAAGCATCCGATCTGAAAATTTTGGATATCTGAAATTTTTAAATCGGATTTGGATAACAATTTCTGATATCCGAGTCAAATTTTGGATCGGATATCCGATCCGTGAACAGGCCTAACTTTAACTCCCTGCCCGAAACACCCGCCCGGCCCATGGCCACCTATAGCCCGATCATAATTTACAACACAGCGACAGCAAAACAAAGCAGCAAACAAAACGAAGGGAACTGGGGACATGGCAGCTTCTTCTTCATTGTTGAAGAACAAATACTGGATTCTTAGACATGGCAAAAGCATCCCTAATCAGAAAGGTCTCATTGTTTCCTTTTTGGTACCTTCCTCTTCCTTCTTCAATACCCACATTTTATTTAATTTATTTATCATATTTGTGTTACTCAATTCGATTCATTTGTTATTATTTCTTTTAATATTCTCCGTTATTTACTAAACTTATACATTGAGATGTAATTGTAGATGGGTTCTGCTTAATTTATTTAATTTGACTGTTGATTGGTTAATCATGTTTAGATATTAGGGTTGAAAAGTTTATCATCTATTTCATGGATTCTCGAAAAAAATTCTTGATTTTTGCTTAAATTCTGCTTGTTATGGTAGCATTAAACTGTTTATGGCTTATTTATGATTTGGCTGATGATTGATTAACACACAGGAAAATGGGGTACTTCCAGAGTATCAGTTGGCAGAGTTGGGTGTTAAACAAGCCCAATTGGCTGGGGAGCAATTCCAAAAGGTAGTTTTACTCCAATTTCAGTGCTGTGTAATCATAGGAAGTGCACGTCGTCTCGTTTATCATTGTTGTATCATTTGAATTTGTAGTCATTGTAATTCCAACTCTTAATCCAAACAACTAGATAAAGAATTCACCAACTTATGGGAAATAGATTCCATTAGGGTAGCAAATGTTTCACATGTACCGAAGAAGTTTCCTGAAAAGCTATTAATTCACTTATGGGATTCATGCTTTAGTTTTTGAGAAATTTGATTGCAACTTTCTGTCAAAAATGAGCATGATTGCCCTGCATATGTGTTAGCTTAGAGGATGATGAAAAGTTCTAAAGAGTAGAGACTAGAGTGAGGCAGTAAGCAATGAAGACATTGTGATCAACATCGGTGGATATTTAAGTTGGAACGCAACTAATTTGTTCCGTTTTATTGGTGGATTATTAATATCTTACACAGTAACACTGCAATTCCACCACTATAACCATAATACAAGTATATATTAGTCATTTCTGTTTGTGCTGTATTTTTAGGTTTACTTCAAAGATTATTGAGTCGAGATTGCTGATTCGTGTCCCACCCATAATCATGTAATTAATTAAGAAATTAAGATACCGCAAGTTGAATCTCATGCTGTGCAAAATTTCTGTCTGGGAGCCTTCACTTTAATTGTTTGTGGATCTCTATTGGAAACATGATTCCTTAAGGTGAATTTTTTTCTTTGATATTTTATGAATTTATGTTCTTCCTTCACCACCATCACCATAATCTCAAATAAACTGGTCCATAAGTGCAGGACTTGAAGGATGCTAATATTCCATTGGAAAAAGTTCGCATTTGTTACTCTCCATTTGCTAGAACAGCTCATACTGCTAAAGTGGTTGCATCTGTCTTGAATCTTCCATTTGAAGGTAGTCAATGCAAGGTACACCCTCTATAACTTTAACAAATAAAATACTGCTTCATGCAAGATTGTGGAAGTTTAATGTGACTGTCATTTACATCGAAGGATTTAAAACTTGGCAAACAAATAAATTTGTAAGTTCTGTATGCTGTTGTGTAAAATAGTTTATCCAAACAAAAAATACCTGAATAATAACTGATATGGTGCACATATATCTGAGACTGATTATGTATTTTTACTGGTTAAATTCACTTTTTGAGTTGCAGATCTCTGTTTTAACTTTGCATTTCTGCTGCCCTTCCTTTTTCTAGCTGTTAACTTTACAATTTTTTAATAGGTGTTTGAAGATCTTCGGGAACGTTACTTTGGCCCTTCATATGAGCTTTCATCACATGAACGGGTAAGTTTTGCATCTCTGGTTCTTCATACAGCCATACAGTTTTTGGTTGTTTTTTTTTTTTGCACACTCCTACTGTGTATGGTTGGAGATAAACTCCCATGTCATTTTTTTTTTTTTTTGTAAAGACTTCCTTATCAACTAATTTTGTCTAAGATAAAGTAACCTATATGGGAATTCTATACATAAACTATATATGAGAAAGAGATTTTTCTTGCCAAAGAGAAGCTTACACCATAAAGATGTAAACCTTTCTAATGATTACACCAGGGATGATAAAAATGCTGCTGATGTAAAACCTTTGTAATGTTTACACCATAAATATCTAAAGCTGTATTAATTAAGACTTCTGGAGAATTAAATCATGATGGGGCTTTAGGAATCTGGTATGGCTACCTCGATTGTGTAGCTCATAGGGTTTCCGCCTTTACAATTTCTATCACATGCACCAAATGGGGTTAGCGGTGGTATACATTAATCAGTGAACAGGTGCTGGTTTCAGTTCTTAAGAGTGTGATTTAAAATATTCTAGGTCATCTTTTTTTAATTTTCTGGATTCCTGATTCTTAAATTTATATTCCTACTAGTATCCAGAGATATGGGCGCTTGATGAGAAAGATCCATTCCAGCGTCCAGAAGGTGGAGAAAGTGCTGCTGATGTTGTTTCACGTCTATTGAAGGCCATTGGAGAAATGGAGGCTATGTTTGAAGGGTAATTTCTCCAAATTATCCCTGTTATCTTCTCTTTGTTTGAGCACTTCCTATTTACTATATTTTTTTTAATGTTCTTTTATTACTGACATTAATCTCTGGTCTTCATCTAATTGAGTATTATTTGCTTGAATATAGTGTCTTAGAGTGCTGAATTCAATTTCTTATACTTTGTATATGATATAATGAGTCACTGTTTATAATTCAGGGTTATACAAATATATGAAACTAATAGTCTCAGAAATTTCACAGATGTGCAATATTGATAGTCAGCCATGGTGATCCCCTCCAAATGTTGCAGACAATACTCAATGCTGCTAAGGAAAATAAAGAATTCAGCTGCAGTAGTTATTTGGCAAGATTAGAAGCTGTTAAAGTTCCATCTGTCTTGTCACAGCATCGGAAATTTGCCCTGGAAACTGGTGAGCTGCGATCCGTGGTTTGAAACTACATCTCCTCAATTATGTAGGGGTATGTTGATATACTTTGGACCATTCGTATTATTGCTGCAGAACCTATTGGGATATTTCTTGCAATATCTATCTGGCTGTCATTTTGCCTTTGAATACCCTATTGTAAAAGGGAAACAACATGATTTAGTCAGTCTTCTAATAAGTTGTATATGGTGATTTGATATGTGCTCTTTTAGCTGTTTATCCAGTTTTTGTATGGAAGTCAGCTTTCTGTATGATTTCTGTACCATAATATATGAAGTCAAACCGAGTATTGAACATGAATAGAATATTTTTTACACAATTTGCTCTTATTTCTTGCGAGTATTACTTTAAGAGTCAGAGACCAACCCAGATTATTTTGTGATACACAGTGAAAGCATGGGTAGATTCTTGTTGCAACGTAGTATGACCCAATTTTCTGATAAATGATACCGTTCATTGACATCTAAATCGTTCACTTAAAAGTGTGGAATTACGACATGTATAGCCAAACTCTGTCCTTAAACCAGCCTTGACTGTTTTCCTATAGCAAAGTTCAAACAGTTGAAATCTTTTTGGCTTAGCTGAAAGCCTAAGCATTGCCTCAGACCCTTTTGGCTTTCCCATAATTTAGGTATTGTATGCAACTACAACCTTTATAAATCTTTTTTATGTAGGGGGGAAGAAATCAAATTCAAGAAAACAAGTTATATGGGGCTATGATTATTAATGTCGACTAATTAATTTAAAATAAAAGCATATTCTGCAATGACTTGATTATTATTATAGGGAGAAGGAACAAAAAATGAACTAAATTAATAAAATTAAAACACATCAGCTTTCAATAGGTCAATATCGGCATATAGCAGTATAGCTGGGAGAAAATCTGAAGTGCCTAAAAGTTTTTGCTACATGAACATTTAACAATCTAATTCTACTTAGTATTATTTCATTTTTTTGATAGAGTTAAAAAATATACAAGTATATATATAAAAATTAGATTAGTTAGAAAGGTTTTTAAGATTATACAAGTTTATAACAGTATGAACTTTTAGTATTAAATCATAATTAAACTGTATTACGTCGTATGTTAGAAGTATGTTTTTTTCTAAAATTAGGTGATAATTTAGATGAGGAGTTGAACTATGAACAACCTTTTCCACCTAAATCCATCCAGCTACACAATTTATATAACGTATAAATACCCATGAACCCACAAAGTATATCATTTCCTAAACAAACACAAAAGTCCCTCTTGAACAAGTTATTTCACTCCTGATTTAGTGATTTCTACACTTGTTTGCGCTTGCTTCTTGAAACCATGGGTTCTCGCTTGTTTATATTTGGTATGCTGCTCTTTGCTTGTGTGATGAGTACTGGGACAACGCCAGTTGTAGCTCGTCGCCTTCTTGAAGATTCCTTGCCAGAGCATCCTAAGACGGAAATGCCAAAGCCAGAAGTTCCTGAACTTCCAAAGCCTACCTTGCCTGAGCTTCCTAAACCCACGGTACCTGAACTCCCAAAGCCTGTCTTGCCCGAGCTTCCTAAACCTACTCTGCCTGAACTTCCAAAACCCACCTTACCAGAGCTCCCTAAACCCACTGCGCATGAAGCACCCAAGCCAAAACAACCGGAAATTCCAAAGCCCAAATTGGATGAGGCACCAAAGCCTATCGAGCACGAATTGCCCAAGCCTACATTGCCAGAGTTGCCTAAACCTTCTGTTCCTGAAATGCCAAAACCCACCTTACCTGAGCTCCCTAAACCCACTGAGCATGAGTTACCCAAGCTATCAGTACCAGAACTACCAAAACCCAAGTCAGTTGAGATGCCCAAACCCACTGAGCATGAATCACCCAAGCCTACACTGCCACAACAACCTAAACCTGTTGTACCTGAAATGCCTAAGCCCCATTTGGATGAGCTGTTAAAACCCAAGATGCCGGAATTGCCAAAACCCACCATGCCCGAGCTGCCTAAACCTACAATGCCTGAACTGCCAAAGCCCACAATGCCTGAGCTACCCAAGCCTGTAGTGCCTGAGCTGCCCAAACCCACTGTGCCTGAACACCCTAAGTCTGCCATCTCAGGCAACCCTTGAAGAATATAGTAGCTTGCATATCTTGGGACTACATGAATTTATTGGATAATGATAAATAAATGTTGTGTATTGATAGTTTCTTTCCTTCCCCTTTTAGGGGGGTGAAGAAAGTTTGATTCCTTTGATATCTTATATATGTTAGTGATTTTCGTTCTTTTTGAACATTGTACATTGTAACATTTCAACTCTTTGGTCCTAAATATTGTACTTCGTAATTTATATGCTTTCATTTGGATTAACTTTACTTCTATCCTTTCTCACATGAATTCCATGTAGCACACACAAATGCAAAATCTGTATGTGCAGCACAGTCTGACTGTTATAGTGTTAGATCAGATTATTTGACAATCTCTTTCATCTAATTCATCCATGCATCCAGCAAGATTGTTCATCTTCTATAGCTATACTATAATAAGTACTCCTAAACACGGGAAAAAAAAATAATAATAAATAAAAAATAAAAAATTGATGTATCATTCTCTGATTGCACAAATAATTAATCAACAAAAAAAAAGCCCTCTAATCTGTAATCAAAGCATCATTATATTCCCACGTCATTTCAATTCTTGTAAGTATTTTGCTCCCACACTATATACCATGGGTTACCAAACTTGCGTATTTCTAATCTTTATGATGCTAATCACTTTCATGATGAGTAGTGCCACAATCCTGGTAGTAGTACCTGAAGTGGCAGATGCGGATGCTGATGATACGCTAGAGTCGCAAACCCTTTTCAGCATCGATTATGAAGATGTCATTAGTTATTTAGATGACCTGCAAACAACAAGACCTTGAGTCCATCATTATCTTAAAATCATTGAAGGATATATCTGTTTCCATTGGACTTGGGAGTACATTGATTTTGTTGTATTTGCTGTATCTTTTGGACTTTGATATCATTTTGTCTCTCTTGTATTGGTTTCAGAAGTTGTACTCTTTTGTTACTCGTTACTTTGTACTTCAATCAATTGAAATGTTATAAGTTGTCTCTGCCATTTGTTGTAGTGAAATATATAAGCCTTTTTTTTTTTTTTTTTTTTTTTAATGAATTACAATTATTTTGAAGTGCTGCAGTCATCTAAAAAAAAATTATCAATATATCTAAAAAAAACTGAAAACTTGAGTTTATTCAGGTTACAAGCAGCAGTAGGAGAAACATGGTTGGAGCTGAACGTGGTTAAACATGTGCGAGTGAGTGATTATCTTTGATGTAGGTAATCCGTAAATAAATTTCACCATCTCATGTATCTAGAATAATTCACTTAGAGCATATTTTTTTAATAGTGCTGTGCTTGTGCCTAAGCATGTTTTTACTTGTTGCTCTTCAATCTAAATTCTATAAAAGAGTTAGCCTACTGCATGATATCTGTTATCATAAAAAATGAAAGCTAAATTGACTATTGAACATAACTGAGGTTTTTGTACAATTTGCTAATATTACTCTGAAAATTACCAGAGGCATCAAGGAGAATCTCGTCGCAACATAATATGAGCCAGAATTTACCCTAATGGCTCCAATCAGTCATTTCATCAGGAGTTTTACCTTTCACTTGAAATATGAATGAGTATAGTGGCCTAGTGTAGGTATAATATAGTCTGTGGCCAAACGAAAACTGGTTTCCTCGAGTAAAGCTGAAACATTTTATCTTTCTGGTTTTAACTGAAATTTCCCAGTGAATTTCTTAAAGTTAAGGTGAAGTACAAGTTTTGTCCATTAATTAGGTGATCATGTTCAATTTCGGAACAAAAGTACAGTAAAAAGGAATAAGAAGAACGAAAATGAAGGGGGGAAAAGAAAAAAATTCTTTCAATTAGTCAATGTAGTTGTTATGAGGTAGGTACCTTAAAAACTAGTTTCTGACCATTTATGTTGCATCTTTCAGACCTCTTGATTTATGCTGTTTAGCTTATTTGGTAATTGTGGGCCCTGAATCTGATATCCTAATTCTAATATTGTTGGATTATCTAGGAGGTTTAATCAAATTTGTAATGTTTTATATGCCAGCATATTCAGAATTAGATCATTACTTAACTGTATTACATCAGATAGATTTCCCATGCATCTCCTATCATACTTTTCTAAGTGCAGGTGATAATATAGCTGAGAAGTTGAACTAGGCACAACCTTTTCTACCTAAATCCATCCAGCTCAACGATTCATTAAACCTATAAATACCGATGATCCCACAAAGTATATCATATCCTAAACAAACAAAAACACAAACACAAAAGCATATCCTAAACAAACAAAAACACAAACACAAAAGCCTCTTTTGTACAAGTTTCATTTTGTATTTGTATCAGTTGTTTGCTACCCTGTCATCAAACCATGAATTGCCGGTTGTTTTTAGCTGGCATGGTGCTCATTGCTTGTGTAATGAGTACCGGCACAATGCTAGTTTCAGCTCGCCATCTCCTAGAAGCTTCCGTGCCAGAGCATCCTAAGGAGGAAGTGCCTGAGCTTCCTAAGCCCACAGTGCCTGAACTCCCAAAGGTGCCCGAGTTGCCTAAGCCCACATTGCCTGAGCTTCCAAAGCCCACCTTGCCAGAGCTCCCTAAGCCCACTGTGCACGAGGAGCCTAAGCCCATTGTGCCTGAATTACCAAAGCCCAAAAAGTCTGAGATGCCCAAGCCCATTGAACATGAATTGCCCAAGCCTAGATTGCCAGAGATGCCTAAACCTGTTGTACCTGAAATGCCTAAGCCCACATTGCCTGAAATGCCAAAACCTACCTTGCCAGAGCTCCCTAAACCCACTGAACACGACGTACCCAAGCCAACACTACCCGAACAACCAAAGCACAAATCGGTTGAAGTGCCCAAGCCCACCGAACATGAAGCTTCCAAGCCCATTGCACATGAAGTGCCTAAGCCCACCGAACATGAAGTGCCCGAGATACCCAAGCCAACAATGCCTGAATTACCGAAGCCTGTTGTGCCTGAGTTGCCAAAACCCAAGATGCCTGAAATGCCCAAACTCACAATGCCCGAGATACCCAAGCCAACTATTCCTGAACTGCCCAAGCCTGTTGTGCCTGAACTGCCCAAGCCGACATTACCTGAGATCCCTAAGCCTGCCATCCCTGGCAAACCTTGAATGATACAACAGTTTGCGTTTCTTGGGACTACTTGAATGCATATTATAATAATAATAATAATAATGATAATAATAGATGTTTGTATACTTTCATTTGATATTTTGACACCCCTCTTTTTGTTGTGGTGTGTGTATCATCAGTGTATGTGTTGTGTTATGGTGTGAAGGGGTTTAGTGAACTTACTATGTTAATGTATTTTGTCCTTCTTTCAGTAACAAATTACGTAATATATATTTATATCCTTTTGATTTCTGTATTTGGTAATATTTAGAAGACTAAACAAATTTTCTTTCACATATGCACCAAGTTGATGCCTACAGACTTTCAAAAATTAAGCTAGCACCTTAAGAAACACATATGAACATTGAGATTCAAGTTATAGCATTAGCAAGCGCATTGATCAGTTTGATTAAATCTTAAATTTATTAACTAAGCATAAAAGGAAATTTGCAGTTGTATTACTTGTATACGATCAATGTTGAATCGATTCAAGCAAATATATATCTAGTGGCAGCATTTCAAATCTCTGCTTATTATCTTACTGGTATGAAGAGTTCCAAGAATTCTATGGACTTACAATAATGTAGATACTGTTACATTAGCTATGAAAGATACGATGCGACGAACTTGGTCATCTAAAGTCTAAGCTGTAGGTGTTTCTGTCTGCGAGTTTAAATCTTCTGGGATTTTACGCAGTTTAACCGTTGTTGTTGCTTGCTAGAAGTTAGATTAAACTTGAACAAATTCCTGGATGCAAGGACTATAACACCATAACTCAATCAGCTTTTAAGTTACCTAAACATCATTTATATTTAATAAACCTAAGCGCAAGACGGCTCCAGGTTCCGGAGAATGTTTGAATGTTAGTTTGGTGTAAAAAGAGAGATGTAAGGAGAATAATGTAGACAAGATTCAATTCCAAGTTTCGGATATCACCCTCAAAACTTTAACCAAATTAGTTGGCATCTACATGTACCCAAGAATATCATTGCCCAAAATTTGTTCCACGGATTAAAGTTATTCAACTTAATTAGGATCTGTTGTTTCGGATTTTCTTTCATATGCTTTGTCTGCATGAATCCATTATCATTAATATTATACTGTACAAAGATCAATAATCATACAACTTCCTAAATAATTGTACTAGTTATGTCTCTCTCGGTAATTGATCATATCCCAATTGCATCACATCAGGAAAAATACAAATATAACCATGTGAAGGTAATACCCATATTATTCTTAATGACAGTGATAATACAGATGAATTATATTATATGGACAACTTCCACCACCTAATAAATCCATTCCTCGAATGTTGTTCTTATTCTTACCTTATAATGCTATATATAAGCACCTACAAAAATGGAAGAATACACCATATCCTAAGCCGATAATAGAAAATAAACAAATAAAAATTACTTGTTCATTATATTCTATTGTCCCTTGTTTGTACAAGGTAGGATCATTATATTCCTAGCTCGTTTCTAAACTATTTTGTTTACACTTTAAAGATTGAACCATGAGTTCTCGCTTGATTTTGTTATGTCTCGTGCTCATTAGTTGCATGTTGATGAATGTTGTCATAATGGCATCAGCTTGCGCCCTCCTAGATCTTCCTAAGTTGGAGGTACCTAAAGTTGGCTTGCCCGATCTTTCAAACCCCACCGTGCCCAAAGTTCCAATCCCTTCAGTTTCAGTGCTAGGTCGCGGCCTCCTAGATCTTCCCAAGTTGGAAGTGCCTATAGTTACCTTGCCCGATGTTGGTAATCCCACAGTGCCCAAACTTCCAAATCCCACAACTCTCCTACCAGGTCGCGGCCTCCTAGATCTTCCCAAGTTGGAAGTGCCTGTAGTCACCTTGCCAAATCTTGGTAATCCCACCATGCCCAAACTTCCAAATCCCACAACAGTCATACCAGGTCGCGGACTCTTAGATCTTCCTAAGTTGGGAGTGCCTACGGTCCCCTTGCCCAATGTTGGTAATCCTACGTTGCCCAATCTTCCAAATCCCACAACTCTCGTACCTACACTCCCCTTACCCAATGTTGGTAATCCCACGGTGCCCAAACTTCCAAATCCCACAACAGTCATACCAGGTCGCGAACTCTTAGATCTTCCTAAGTTGGGAGTGCCTACAGTCACCTTGCCCAATCTTGCTAACCCCACACTACCCAAACTTCCAAATCCCACAACAGTCATACCAGGTCGCGGACTCTTAGATCTTCCTAAGTTGGGAGTGCCTATAGTCCCCTTGCCCAATGTTGGTAATCCTACGTTGCCCAATCTTCCAAATCCCACAACTCTAGTGCCTACACTCCCCTTGCCCAATGTTGGTAATCCCACGGTGCCCAATCTTCCAAATCCCACGACGCTCGTGCCTACACTCCCCTTACCCAAGCTTCCTTTGCCCACGGAACTTCCTAATCCCACAATTCCGCAGATCCCATAAGTAAGGTTGCCTATGCCGGCATCATCTCAAGAAAACGTTGAAAGATACAAACTGTTCCATGAATGTATCTAACGTAATGATGTATCCCTAATAGTATAATATTATTTGAACTCTAATATCTATTTGTTGCTCTATTTTTATTTTTATTTTTTTGGTTTCAAAGAATGTAATTTTTCTGTGCAATCCATCATTTTGAACCTTATACTTTTGTTATCTTGACTTGATTTTTATGTTGTATTTTTTAATAAATAATGAAGATTTTTTTATCCCATTTGTCTCATGCATGCACATCAAGTTAAAACCAGGCCCTTCTATGATCACAACAATTTTCACAAATAGACAAGGTTGCACTAGATCGGTAGTTATGAAATTGATGCTTTCCCAAAAAAAAAAAAAAAAAAATTTACTTAGAGCTCATAAAAAACGTTGTCAACATATCGTACTCATACCTACTAGTCTACTTTTTTTGGTGTTTAGAGAGCCACAAGGACGGAGTGAAAATAAACGATATTATTACATTCCAATTCCTTTCCGATACCTCCCAAGGAAAATCCCTTTTTTTTTTAAGTTCGAAAATGAAACAAACAATTGGATTGTTGAAATATTTCAGTTTTTAAAAAAAAATAAAAAAAAAAAATGTCAAACGTAAATCCAATTCGACTATTTGGATTGAGAGAAGAATCGAGTAAAAGAAAAAATGAAAAAACATGGGTTACTTCAGCGCCGTAGCGCCTGGTACTCGAACATTGGCTCGATTATGTTCTGCGCTATTTGAAAATCTCCGTCAATACTTCAGTGTAGATGCGGAATAATCTTTTGTCGGGGCTATTTACAACTAGCCAACTAAGAATTCTCGGCCGGCAATTTGGATTTGAATTCCTTTTGTATCAGCTTCAATTGGTTAGAGCACCGCCCTGTCAGAGCGAAAGTTGCGGGTTCGAGCCCCGTCAGTCCCGAAGGAATCGAAAGGGAAACACTAACCACTTAAGTTATTCATCACTCTCATACCTACTAATCTACTACTGGGTTCAACGATCAAATAAAGTACCCATATGGTTCACAATAAATAGGTCCGATTATAATTTATGTTAAATTAACTAAAGATATTTTCCTTTTCATTTATATTATAGAGGCAATATAATGAGTGTTACTAAATATCTTATCAATCCTACTCCTTTTCCTGAAAAGCATAATAACGATCTACCAAAAATCTGTCTAAACAAATAAGAATTTTGAATTGGTTCTGTCTAAACAAATAATATTTCTCCATTAACATAATTTTGATATTTTCTTTTTTTAGGAAACTAACATGATTGTGATTAATTTACACGTTCGTATATGAAAATTAACAACTAAATTTTGGTATATTTTAGTATAATTACGGTATATTTTAGTATAATCACGAATAATGAGCATTCCCACCATAAATTTTAAGAGAGAAAAAAATGGATGAGCAAGTGCCAAGTTACAAAATTAAAGTAAATTGTAAGTACATTGGGAACATGTTAACTGTTAACTAGTATAGTGCCCGTGCGATATACGGTTTATAAAGCAAATTATTAATTCCGTAGGAAAGAAACAAAGATAATTTAATTAGTAATAAAGGGCTAATTTACAAATGGTCGATACAAAAGTAATGGATTGTAATTTAAATAGTATTTTATGTTATTTGCATTTGTTTTAATTTTTATAATGTTATTTTTTTAATTGAAAAATAAATGAATAATGCTCCACATAACTAGACAAGAGAAGTAGACTAATTTATTTTCTAACTCCGTAGGGAAAAAACGAATATTTTAATTTAGATTTGGGAAATATGTGAATAAAAAATATCATAATTATATGATTTAGTGAATATTGTATATAATTAATAATAGGTAGTTGATGGCATTGACAAAAAAAAAAAAAAAAAAAAAAAGAAAAGGGGAGGGGGAGTTTCGGAGGGAAATACAGCACCAGGAAGTGACATGTGTCATTCTTGGTGTCTGTTTTAATATTATGTTATTGATGATTAGGGACGAGTAAGGTAGATGATTATAATTCATTTATCTTGTTATTTGACTTCTTCTAATGTCCATATGTTTACTAGACTTGGTGGTTGTGAAATTATAATTTAATTCCACCATTTTTTTCCTTCTTGTTATTAGTTTAGCTAGAAAAGTAATTGAATCCATACATCTGATATTATCCAATAATAATTGCTGATTATCTAGCTATTCCATTAAAAGACAGCTAAGTCATATTTTTCTTGATAAATTGGTGTAATAACAGTTGAGAAGTTGAACAATATATGCTCAACCTCTTACACCTAAGTACCTAACCCTTGCTGTAGGACCGTTCTCTACCCCTCACCTTACCCTTTAAATATCCCTAAGCAAGAATCAGTACACCATATCTTGAGCAAAACAAAAAACATCCTCTTCAAGTACAAGTTCTTTCCCTTTTAATCTTATACTTGTTCAATCGATCGCTTCTTTCAACTAGCAGCTAGGCTTCAACCATGGGTGCTCGCTCGTTAGTTTTAGTTATGATGGTTGTTGCTTGCGTGATGTGTACAAGCACAAAGCCAGTGATAGGACGTCGCCTTCTTGAAGCATCCGTGCCTGAGGTTCCTAAACCAGAGGTGCCAAAATTGGAGGTACCTGAACTTCCAAAACCCACCTTGCCAGAGCTACCAAAGCCGGAAGTGCATGAACTCCCAAAACCCACAATTCCCGAGCTCCCAAAACCCACATTGCCTGAGCTACCAAAGCCAGAAGTACATGAAATTCCAAAACCTACCATCCCCGAGTTACCAAAGCCAAAACTACATGAAATTCCAAAACCCACCATACCTGAGCTACCAAAGCCAGAAGTGCATGAAATTCCTAAACCCACCATACCCGAACTACCAAAGCCAGAAGTTCACGAAATTCCAGAGCTACCAAAGCCAGAAGTGCATGAATTTCCTAAACCCACCATTCCTGAACTACCAAAGCCAAAATTGCATGATATTCCAAAACCCATCATTCCCGAGCAACCAAAGCCAGAAGTGCACGAAATTCCAAAACCAACCATTCCAGAGCAACCAAAGCCAGAAGTTCATGAAATCCCAAAACCCACTGAACCTGAGCTACCAAAGCCAGTAGTGCATGAAATTCCTAAACCCACCATACCAGAGGAACCAAAACCAACCATCCCCGAGCTACCAAAGCCAAAATTGCATGAAATTCCAAAACCCACCATACCCGAGCAACCAAAGCCAGAAGTGCATGATATCCCAAAACCCACCATACCCGAGCAACCAAAGCCTGAAGTGCATGAAATTCCAAAACCCACCATACCCGAGGTACCAAAACCAGAAGAGCATGAAATTCCAAAACCCACCATACCCGAGGTACCAAAACCAGAAGAGCATGAAATTCCAAAACCCACCATACCCGAGGTACCAAAACCAGAAGAGCATGAAATTCCAAAACCCACCATACCCGAGGTACCAAAACCAGAAGAGCATGAAATTCCAAAACCCACCATACCTGAGGTACCAAAACCAGAATTTCATGAACTTCCAAAACCTGCCATCCCCGAACTACCAAAACCCACCTTGCACGAGATGCCAAAACCAGAGATACCTGAACTACCTAAGCCCACCTTGCCCGAGCTTCCCACCCCTAAGATGCCTGAACTTCCAAAGCCCACATTCCCTGAATTGCCTAAGCCAACCATTCCAGAGGTGCACATGCCTACTGTCCCAAGCCATCCTTGAAGTCCAAGCTCCATTTCCTCGGATAAATTCCATGATTAAGATATAGGTGTATTTTGATGCATTACATATTTTTTCTTTTGAGTTATATTTATGATGTGTACTACTGTACTAGTATTATGTGTGTAATTTTTATTTTTCTCTTATCAACTTCGACTCAGCATTGTTTTTCTATTTTGCTTGATATGATATTTTGTACTCTACATTTTATGTCCTCTTTCGAGTACGTATATAATAATACTTTGTAATACTGTTTTTTTTTTCTTCTCTAGTTTCGTCTATGCTCACATCCAATACATGTGCCCTAGCAACAAATTAATACGGAGTAACAACTTAATTATTCATATTTTCAAGCAGTACGTAAAACAGACACGAATACACAATCTCAGTTGATAAGTTAAATGTAGCTTACAATTGATGTGCGAAGAGGTGACTTAGCATAGCTGCTTTACAGTACAAGGAATCACACCTTGCAAAGTTGCAAGACATTAAGCGTTGCTTTGTGAACGACGAATCCTCTGGATCAACTTAATTATATCGTGTTATATACGTGTTCAATACTTACGATCCAAGAGTTTCATTGACTGCATATATCAGATCATACACAAAATTTCATCGAAGTATGTTAATGGTTAGTTAGTTGAAGTTTGATCATTACAATAAATTGCATATGAAGTTGCCAAAATCCTTGTTTAGACATACATGATTTTGAACGTTACTTTTATAATAGTGTCGGAAACACGCAAGAACAACTATTTATAATAGTGTCGGAAAAAATTATGAGTACTATTAACTATATACTTCACAGTACAATTCAGATCATATACTCTACTTATTTATCCAAGGAATGAATGCAACTGACTAGTATATATATATATATATATATGATCTCTCCATCACCAAATAATTTGTCACGTTACTCAAATCTTTGTCTATGTATAATACTTGTAAGACAACTTATAAGAAGTTAATACAAGTATTTTGAGATTACACTACGAGATGAATATAACAAAATTCAACATGAATATAGTTACTTCTTATATATCTATCGATATGTATCAATATATGAATAATCATTATCAAAGTTTCCCTCTTGGCATGGAAGATTCTATAAGGGACAAACATAAACAATTAAAGTGAGTATTATTAGCTGTGATTGATTTTACTATTACAACCTTGCCAAAATTAAACACTCCCTCCGTTTTAATGCAATAGTCGTTTGACTTGCAATTAAATTTATTACAATAGTGATCGACAAATATGTGAGTCAAACTATTGCATTTTAAAAAAAATGCAATAGTTGTGAGAGCGTGAAATTTGATGCAATTTTGGTAAAGGAATTTTTAAGAAATAAAATTGTGTTATACTAGTATTTTGAATACGTTGAAAAACACTTATATTAAAGACATGTGGCAAATATTTTGAGACGGTGGGACTACATAATATGATTATACAGAATTACAGAGTACTTTGTAGTCAATAGTGTGTTATTGTTTTCATTTTACTAGTAGTTGAGCAACCACAGAAAAACTGTCCATGAACGAATCACCCAAATTAGCATGCATGCTCATTCAAACAAAGCAAGTAATTTTGAGATCATCATTTATAACGTTGTTCATTACTTCATTTTTCATAAGTGTACTTTAAAAGTACATTTAACTTGTTGCTATTTTTTTCATAACTACTTCATCCTCAAACTAACGTGTAGTAATTAAAAAAAAAAAAAAAAAAAAAAACAACTAACGTGTAGTAATTAATTTTTAAAAATTGCATAAATTTTTCGAGTAAGTTTTTTAAAAGGGTGGTGGCGTAGTAGAATGAAGGACATATATACATTTCATTTTTATATATTTTGTAGTTTATTTTTTGTCAAAGATATATAATATCGTAGTGGTTACATTTAAAACTTTAGCTTTATTTTTTCCTTCCAAATTTAATATAATTATTCTTAGTTTGTGCCTAATAGAGTATTAGAGTAATAGGACAGGTGGAAAACGTATAGCTAGGCCGTACAATAGTATTTTGATTAATTAACAAGGCGTGTGTCAAAAAACAAAAATTAATTTACAAGGCTTAGTTATATGGTCTATGTCATATTTTTCTAATAATGTAGATGAAGGTGTTAAACTGTCCACGACCTATCTCACCAACCTATACTTGTATTAGTTGTACTCGGATGAATTTTACAAGTCTCCACAAATTTGCCATCTATATATACATGTAAATGCTCTACAAGTCTCAAGTCCATAGTAATCCTCTCGTAAGATTTTCATTTTCTCATTGTATTGCCTTTTGTACTACATAATTCATACAAATTTTGGTGTACTAGAGAGATATTACACCATGATTCGGCACCACTCTTTTTTCATTTCAATGTTGTTGCTTGCAACTTGCATCTTATTGAGTAGCAATGCAAATTTGGTTGCTTGTCGTCGACTTTTGGAAACATCTCCTGCGGAGCTTCCAAAGGAGCATGAGGTGCCAAAGATGCCTGAATTACCTAAACCAGTTGTTCCAGAACTCCCAAAACCCGTGGTACCGAAACTTCCAAAACCCACGGTGCCTGAAGTGCCAAAAATTCCTGAATTGCCTAAACCCACAATACCTGAACTTCCCAAGCCCACAATACCAGAAATTCCAAAACCTCCGGTGCCTGAAGTGCCAAAACCCGAAATGCCTAAACTTACAACACCTGAGATACCTAAGCCCACAAAACCAGAACATCCAAAGCCCATTGTACCTGAAGTGCCAAAGCCTGAGGTACCAAAAGAGCCAGAATTGCCAAAGCCGGTAGAACCAGAACTCCCTAAGCCTGAAGTACCAAAGGTCGATATACCAAAAAAGCCTGAATTGCCAAAAGCTGAGGTACCAGAACATCCTGAATTGCCTAAACCTACCATACCAGAGATCCCTAAGCCTCCAGTACATGAAGAGCCAAAACCCGAAGTACCAAAAAAGAATGAGTTACCTAAGCCCGAAATTCCAAAGCCTGAAGTACCTAAAAAGCCTGAATTACCAAAACCCACAATACCAGAACTCCCTAAGCCCATAGTGCCTGAAGTACCAAAACCCGAGTTGCCTAAACCTATAGTGCCCGAAGTACCAAAACCCGAGTTACCTAAACCCATTGTGCCTGAAGTGCCAAAACCCGAGTTGCCTAAACCTATAGTGCCCGAAGTACCAAAACCCGAGTTACCTAAACCCATAGTGCCTGAAGTGCCAAAACCCGAGTTACCTAAACCCGTAGTGCCTGAAGTGCCAAAACCAGAGGTGCCAAAGATACCTGAAATACCAAAGCCCACAATACCAGAGCCTCCCAAACTTACAGTACCAGAACTACCTAAGTCGGAGGTCCCAAAAGAGCAAGAGAAGCCCACAATGCCTTAATTTGTTGCCTAAACAAAATCTTTGCTTATAATTAGCATTGGATGAAGATTTGTATACTTTTATTGTTTCCTTGATCATAGTTTAAGATACAAATTAAACCTCATTTCTTTTATGATTGTTTGTGCTCTAGGCCAGATAGTTATGGCTGCTTATATATATGTACGTTTTCTTTTATTTCCTTTTGTACAATGCTTGATGTATGGCCTTTGAGAATTGATTTTATTACATATTTGTCGTGTCATTTTTATTATTTAAGATCAATTGATTTAGTAATATTCCATCTTTTCTAGCTACCGTCTCTATATATGAAACAAGTAAATTTGATCGAATTTTCATGGTTCCTAGTCCAAATCTTTGATCGCTAACACCTTAATCTACAAATTCATTATTATTAATATGAAAGAATTGATTATTCATACATCAAAAGAACTTTTAAGGTAACTTGAAAATTTTTCTCGATTATATATTCACTTAAATTTTACAAACACAAAAAAAAGATCCATTAAACTCTAAGAAAATCTAAAACGCATTAGGCATAAATTTTAATTGTAGGAATTATATGCATACATCGCATATACAATATCAACATATTAGTTGGCCTATATATACCCTAGACAGAAATATACTAAATACATTTTCAAAAGCACAAAATCAACATGTTGGTGCCTTTTCTTCCTCCATCAGCCATCTTCTTCTCCTTCCATGATGGCACCGCATTCCGGAATGGAAGGAGTATATTTGAAAGTTGTATTAAAAGTCAAAGTGTGTCAGATAATCAAAATCGGAGGAGTATATTAAATTGATTAAAAAATATATATTATATGAAATGTTAAAAAAAAAAAAAAAAAAAAAAAACTTTTATTTATATTCCAAAATTTGATACATCTAAAATCTTATATGACACTTTCAAATACTTATATTAAAAGTTCATCTACCTATACTATATATTGTATTTGCCTCATCGTAAATCCGGACTCACATAATACCTTCACTATTTTCATATATGTGAGACTTTGTAGCGAATTTGAGAAATTCTATGATTCAATTTAAAAATACTGGTATAGTATTTCGTAGGGGTGAAAGTAATTCGGTTTAAAACCGAACCAAACCGAATTAGTAATTCGGTTTGGATTTATTTGAAATTCGGATTGTATCGGTTTGGAAAAATTAAAAAATATGGATTATTGTTTGGATTCGATTTGAAATTTTAAAAAAAACCAAAATTTCGATCTATTACATTAAACCTATTTTCTTTTACAAAGTATCTCAACCCCTTTGCCCTTTCATGTATAAACCAAAATAAAAGACCCTAATTTTCAATTCTCCTTTCTCAATATCTCTCTCTCACAAAGAATGTAGTTAACAAGAAAAAGTTCAACAATTGTAGGAATTTTTTAGGTGAAGTTCGGGTTTCGGGTTTGAATGTTGTGAAAGAATGTAACAAATTTTGGTTTGGACTGGATTCTAATTAGCAAAACCGAATTAATTCGGTTTGGTTTGGATTGGATCAAATCTTAATTCGGTTTGGTTTGGATTGGATCGATTCTTAATTCGGTTTGGATTGGGTTTGAGAAATCCAAAACTGAATTAATTCGGATTGGATTTGATTTTGACTATAATCCAAACCGCAAATCGAACTTTCACACCTAATATTTCGACCCTAAAATTACTGAACAAGTTATCCACAATGATCACGACTACTCAACAACATTAGTTTGGGCCGGGGCTTACACATCTTTAAAACGACAACCCTTTAAAACTCTTACACCCGCATTACTACCCAATTACCAATTTGAAATAATTTCCTTGGGTTTTGTAATTTGTTCAGAGAAAAAAGAGGGTTTAGGGTTTTCGCGTCCAGAAAACCCAGAATTTTTTTGCAGATTAAAGAGGAAGAAGACGAAGAAGAAAGATGAGTAGAAGCTTGGGAATTCCGGTGAAGTTGATGCACGAAGCCACAGGTCATGTGGTTACTGTTGAGCTCAAAAGCGGCGAGCTTTATCGAGGTACCATGATTGAGTGTGAAGATAACTGGAACTGTCAACTTGATAGCATTACTTTCACTGCCAAGGTACTTCATTTTCTCTCTCTTAGGTTTTCCTTTTTCTGGGGTTTTTGCAATCTGGGGTTTGGTTTGTATAATTGGCGGCATTAATTTGTTTGTCTTTGAAATTAGGGTTCGTTGATGTTTTAATTTGGTATGTTTTTATGGTCTTAGAATTTGATTATAATGTTATTCCTGATGATGATGATTCGAATTTGATTTTCTTGAAAGTTGAGAGTTTGTACTAAAGTTCAAAGAAATATTGATAATTTTTGAGAGAATTAGGTTGAATTAGGTTAGATTTTGTACTTACATTATGGTTTTAATGTGATTTGATTAATAAATTTGTGTAATGTGTGCTAGTTATCCTTATTGGCCCTAGAATTTTCAATATTAAGGGTGTTACTCAGATGCAAAGGTAAGTAAAAAAATTTGGAGACTGAATCAGGACTGTGTTAATTGTTCCGTGGAACAAGGTCTACTGTGGCTGGAATTTTACACTGGTATTCTCTGCTTAGGATAAGAGCTCGCTAATTGATCAATCTGGTGGACAGTGGACAATGTCACCAGCTCTTTAATTTTAAGAATAAAGCTTTCTTTGTGGGTTGGAAGTGGTTGCAACTTGCTAGGCCAATATTCAAGACGCTTAATAGGAAACTTGGAATTGTTCAGAAATGAGAGGGCATAATATGTGTACTAATATGATCCTAAGGTTTGGCAACTTGCTGATAATTGTAATGGGTTACTGGGTCATTAAAGAATTGTTTTAGGACTCCCACTCCCCCTATTATCTCTCTCATTGATGAGGACTTTGTATGCGTAGGTTTAAGAAAATATGTCATGATCTGGTTGATAGGCCTTTGTAATTGATGCACGGATCTTAACAGTCAGGCATAGCTTATTAGCAATTGGGATAGGGATAGGCAAAAGGTTTGGAGAATTTATCCTAAGATGAATCAAAGTACATTGAGCTGTAGGCTGTAGCCAGTACATTAAAGGATTTTGGAAAAGATTGGCAATGTAAAATGGTTATGGACTTTCTTGTGATTTTGTAAACCAAGGCCTATTGTGGCTTAGATTCTTATGAAGTTATATTTTAGATTTCAAATGTGGCACGAAAGGTTATGTTGACATGTTGCATATTTCAAAACCTTGGATATTTAGATGCTGCTGATGAAATTACCTACTAGGGATATGAGTTCTGTATGTCTGATGTTTACTACCTGTATTGATTATTCCTTTGGTAGTCAATATATCTAGAATTAGAGGTTTAGAATGAAAGTTGCTTTGCTTATTGCTAATGGTAATGTTAGTTTTAAAAGGTAACATGTTTGCTTGGTTAAATAGCAAAGTAAGCAGAGGATCAAAAAGCGGCATTTTAGTTGTAGGGTAGTTATTGGTAAAGCTTGCATTCAGGTTGCTCAGTCTGGTCCATTTTGGTCGTTCAATTTCCAAGTCTAGAACTTGGGGTGGTGGGAGGGTCGGAAGGTTGGCTTTTTCAGAGGCTCACAATCAATCGTGTAAGTAATACTTGTATATTTTTTAGGCTGGAGCTCTTGTAACTTTGAAAAAAGATGAAAGGAGAATGATGCTTACTTAAAGAAGCAAGGGAGAGGTTTCGGAAGTGTCTGTCCAATTTGGTTGCTTTAAAAATTATCAAGGAGAGTTTTGTGATTAGGACTTTTATGACGGCCATTTATTGGGTGGCTAATTATAGATGTGTGAGCTGGTATGAATAGGAGTTTCTGTAATTATTTAATAGCAGAAGGATGGGAATTAGTTTCATGATACGTTAAATAATTACATAAGTTCTGATGAAATAACAGTGTTACAATCTCTACTCATGATTTCTGGTTGCCTAATTTAGTTTCCATACGTTAATTAACAGTGTTACAATCTCTACTCATGAATTCTGGTTGCCTAATTTAGCTAAAAACGTTGCTGAAATACATCATTCTAATACCATTTGTTTTAGTATGATTAGTCCTGTTTGAATTGTTTACATAATTTCATGTGAAGGATCTAAAGGCTATATATGGGATTTCTTCTTTCTGTTGCTGATATTCTTGTATGATCTGCAGGATGGAAAGGTCTCCCAACTTGAGCATGTATTCATTCGAGGCAGTAGAGTCAGGTGAATAACCTTTACAATTATCCCTCAGGAGGTTGTGTATTTATATTGTGAGGCTAATCGTTATCTGGAAATTCTTTCAGGTTTATGATAATACCAGATATGCTGAAGAATGCTCCAATGTTTAAACGTCTAGATGCCAGAATTAAGGTTTTTAGCCAATTCTAGTCTATCACTCTCCCTTTTTCTTAGAAATATCTTCAAAACTATATCACATTATTGATTTTCCGTTAAATTTCTCTCAGGGAAAGAGCACATCACTTGGTGTTGGCCGTGGTCGTGCTGTAGCAATGCGGGCAAAGGTAAGATTCTGATGTTACTGCCCCCCCCCCCCCCCAAAAAAAAAAAAAAAAAAAAAATTCTGTGTTGTAATGTTGTATGTTCAAAGCTGAAGCTAATTTCTTTTTTTTCAAGATTATGTTTCCATAGGGCCGTAGGCTCCCCCCCCCCCCCCCCAAATTTCTGTGTGTTGTAATGTTGTATGTTCAAAGCTGAAGCTAATTTCTTATTTTTCATGATTATATTTCCGTAAGGCCGTAGGCTAATATGTTTGGCCATCTTTTCTTTTGTAGACTCAGGCTACTGGCCGTGGTACCGCTGGCAGGGGAGTTGTGCCACCAGTGCGGAGGTAAATAACTGTCGGATCACAGGTCCAACTAGTCAGCTTTCAGAGTCATGCTGCATCCCAGTGTTATTATATGAGGATTTTGGTGTTGAGGCTGCAGTTTCTGTTTAGTATCTGAGTATACACCTGAACCCGAGATGTAAGAAAATGATCTGATTTCAGAATGGCAGTATCTAGCTTATTTGTTCTCAACATTGTGAAAGTGTTTTCATGTTGTCTTGAATAGTTGAATGTTCATAGATGAAGGTTTTTGGGTAGTTTACTTTATAAAGAAATTTGAAACATCTGTCCCACTTTTTGTGTACCTCAATTTGTGCAACTCGTTTCCATATATTCACGTTGAAGGCTTTTCATTTCTATGAACAAAAAAGCGATGGGCTGGGCATAATAGCTTATTAAAGAGCTGCCATAAGAAAGTATGATAAAGCAGGAACATGCATAAAAGACTTATGATGAATTGCTCACAATCAATTGATCTGTGTTACCTAAGTCTGAATTCTTCACAAAATAAAGTTGCCTGATCTTGCCTGACTTGAACCAACCTAAAAGCGAATAAATTATAAGTTAAATTAGCAATCCAACCCAGTCCAAATGAACCTACTACTAGTATATTACTTCTTTGCATAAATTGGTAATCATTAGTTAAAACCCAGCAATTCAGCATGGGTTAGTTTTTTTAAAGTCGTAGCAAGGCTAAATTATATACAGGCAAAAGTTCGTGCATGTTGGCTGTAAATTGCCTTGAGATACTTCAAACAATTGGGCAATATATTTATCATATACACAGTCAAATGTCAGGTATCTGAGGCACTGTGATTCAGAAGTGCCAGATTATGGACCCAAAAGGTTTATGGAAGCGCTCTATACATCATACTTTTCACACCCCTCCATAACACAGCAAAAGGAAGGGAACAAAAAGAGAAGCCAGTATAACATGCAGACATGCAGTATTGTAATATCACTGCAATACATTAGCCAAGGGCTCCTACACAAGAATGTTGTGAATAAACCATCATGTAGACTTATCTCCCAACGCTGAGTTCCCGTCCATGAGTAAGCTAACAAGATGGAAATAATGAGGCTTCAAAATGGAGCATAAATCACGGACAGCAAGCACAGTGCAAATTTGCGATGTTTTACAGGATACTCAACATCCTTTTGTGCATTCTTCAGAGTTCAAAAGTTTTTCTTAACTACTCTTTGACGACCCATCTACGACCATGGATCATGTATCCTCCGTAGCTTTGATCACTACTGCTCTCACCACCACTTTCACTTGCATAACCTGATTTTTTACGGTGCTTCTGCTTTCTTCCCTTTAAGGCTCCACTGTCGCTGATGCTACCATTTAAAAGTGGGTCATCAATACCACGAATCTCTCTCCTTGGGGGTGAAGAAGTGATGCAGCTGTCATCCTTTGTTTTTCTCTTATCTTTGTCACGCTTTTTAATATTCTGAGAGATCTTATGAATTTTCTCATTGAACTTTGTGATTCCCTTCTCCATAGGTTCCACGGTATGATTAACAGTAAACTTCAAATCTTTAACAATCTAAAAAGCAAACAATAAGTTAGATGCTGGTGTGCACGAGCGAAAAGTATAAAACAGAGATTCAAAGGTTTAGCCAGTAATAAACTAATAATCCCACAAGATATGATGAAGGATGCTTACATATCCACCACCACCGAGAAAGACATCCCGAACACTTTGCCCAAGGGTCATCCCACTCTTATTAGAATGGTCAGCATGTGGAAGACGCACTTTTGTGGGTCGTTCGCTATCCCGAACCTCATCAGGATCTACAGGACAGTCAGCTGAGACGTAGTCTCCAAGAACAGCAACATTCCCAGAAAAAAGGTCTCCCATTAATTCATATGGTTTTGCTGGAAACACATACAGATGAACCACAGAGGCAATACCCATCTGCACTGGTTGAAACATTTAATATTATTAAACTTCAGAATATGAAGAAATACTTTTCAGCATGAACTTTATGGACAAAGACACAAAATCTGAAGTTTAAAACCACAATAAAGGCATGATCATGCAAGATGGACACAAGTTTAAAATCTTTCAATGATGTTTAAGGAGTCTCTAATGGACAATATTTGAACTTTGGATTCCGATAAAATGACACAGAAGAATCCTTAGCTAGTCACAAGCAGTGAATTCCAAGGCTGGTCATGAACCTTTTGCCCTTTAGAATCAAAGGTCTAATGAAAGCACCCCTTTTGCAATTTTATACATTAATACATACATCTACACAGTACACGCTACTTTACCCAGCCTAAGGCAGGATCTTAGATAGAGCAAATTTGAGTATTGGTTTGGTATGATATGATATATTCTTTAATCGACTCCGAGTCTCCGACAATGTAAAATTTGAATCAGAAACTAAAGCGATAACATGGTCAGGAGCAGATGATTATTGTGCTTGTAATGGGGATGGATCACATGATGCAACAACCAAAATAGCTACTTCCAATGAATACAACAAATACCTCTATGCAAATAATGAAGTCCTGGACGCTTGATTTAAACTGCAATGCTTGAGCTATGGGGCTTTTAAACAGGCCAAGATCGTAGAGAATAGCAATGGCAATCCCTTGCCACCATGTCAGAAATACAATGGACTTGAATGTCAGAAATTTGGCCAGTGGTTGTATTTGTGCCAATTCATCCTTCGCAACTGTATAGAATTGCACCAAGCAATATAAGGCCCATGTCTGACTGAAATTCAGGACTACTGCCATGTAAGGGTACCTACAAAACAGAAGATTATCTAAACTGTAAAGTGAAGCATGTGAAAGAAAAGTTCAGCAATACAATGCAGAATCTGAAGGAACAGAATGGCTTATGGCAATGTATTAGAAGTTTAGAACTTAACACTAAGTAAATAAATAAACAAGTACACGCACACCTCCACAACAACATAGGATTAAAAAACGTTCAGGAATTAGTTTACAAACAAGTATGAGATAATAGAAAGATAAATATTCCTGACAAGCTATATCATCCTTGATCCCTGAAAATCATCTCAGCTTATTGTTAAGAAGTCGTACAAAATGTTTTGTCACCCCTATTGTTGCTGTTGCTTGAAAGAGGCTGCTGTATATCAACAAAGCTAGTCCTAAAAGCAACATCTTGTTGTTGGCTATATTGTACAGAAAAGCAGCTTAAGACAGACTTTCTCTAAGAAGTTTCCTACAGAATATCTATGTTTTTTGTGGAGCTGAAGTGGTATATCAACAAAGCTAGTCCTAAAAGCAAAATCTTGTTGTTGGCTATATTGCATAGAAAAGCAACTTAAGACAGACTTGCTCTAAGAAGTTTCCTACAGAATATCTATGTTTTTTGTGGAGCTGAAGTGGTACGCATTGAATAACTTTCTTTCGATGTACCTATATTTCCTGGAGAGTGGATCAGCAATTCAGTATTCTGGATACTTTGAGAGTTTGCTGGGGAGTTGCAGTTTTTGACCTGGAAGTTGAAGAAACAAAAAATGCTACTCTGTAGTAGGAAGAAGCAGATTGTAGGAAAACTTCACTGAATTTCTCAGGTGAGTTATGATGTTTGATAGATGGTGCTTGTACTTAAATTCTTTACTTTCCAAAAAAACTCTCTCAGCTTAAACTATCCTAGAAAATACTTTAAAAGGCCTAAATCTACTATCCACCCTTGCCCAACATCTTATCTGGTTACAAATTTCATTTTTACAACAAATTTTGACTAAGACCTGCAAAGATACTCGTAAATGGACACAGAACCGCAAGCTTCAGCAAAGTATTGATCCTAAAAACTGGGAGAATATAAAGCAACTCCAAACTACAAAAAAAGAGCATGCATAGTATTGCATACAGAATAGAGACAATGTAACAAATAAGAGCAAACTCCAACTCATCCTGCTTTTCATGGTTCCATAAAATCCAGAGCAAAGAAAATTTGCTCATAAATTCAACAGTCAAGCAAGCATAGTAATGGGTATTCTTATAACAAATGACCACATGAGAAGTTTCCTAGAGCATGTGTGAGTGTGGAAACTAGTTACGCAGGATAATGATTTACTGATTTGTGGAGCAGATTGTCAGCCTTGTAAGCAATTATAGTAGCTAACAACCACTGGAGAGGGAACCTCATCGTTATAGTGTAAATTAATCAATAAATCAATCAAAGCCTTAATCCCATAAGTGGGGTCGGCTACATGAACCAAAAGTGATTATTCAATATAGTCATCCACAAAAATCTTCCTCCTCCATCCCTTACGATCAAATATCTCATTCTCAAGCAAATCCATATGCTTCATATCCTTCCTAATTCCTTCCAACCAAGTCATTTCCGGTCTCCCTCTACCTCGTTTAGCCTCTCCATGATCTCACTCTTCCACTCATTGTTATAGTCTCCTAAACCACAAATCATTTAAGCTGTCTTAAGAAAAAGTTTTCACCATATGAAGTCAGAACTCAGAAAGCTTAACAACAAAAATTTATTGGTAAAACTCTTTAGATCAGCATAATTTATGACTTAATTTGGTAAGTAAATATGGTTCCCTTCATGAGAGAAAACACAAATTCAACTTTATATTAGTAAATATTAGCCTCAGTACAACTGAATCAACAGCCCTCATCTAAAGCTAAAAAAAGCTGCAGTACCAGCATGTTTCTTCACACTAGACAGTAAATATGCACTTTTCTACAGGCGAAAGGCTGTCAAATTAGCTGCACAAGAAAAGTGAAAAGCAATGACATGACATTTAAGAGACAGTCTTGAAAAAGAAATGAATTACCATGAAAAGGTATGAGTGTATTATGGTGATACAGTTTATTGCAACAATGTAGGTTTACAAAAACATGCAAAGCAAAGAATATAATGTCATTCAAACGAAAGCCTAATGAGCATAGAAAGATGAGAAAAAACACACACACACACACACACATTTCATTCTAACACATGTTATTATCTTCCTTACCCACAAGTCAACTTGAAGTCCCCATCACAATATACACCGTAGGCTTCAAGAATTACGGCTATTATAGCAGTCAATGATTTAATAATCATCTGCAAAGAAAAAAAAGAAAGAAAAGATTAGCACTCTCTTGATGACACAGAGCAAGCAGATGACAAGCAGAAAATAGAGGTTTACAAACATACATACTGAACAATTCCGATCTTAATCACTTGGTACAACCATTGACCAAGTTTCCATGGTTTAAAGAAAAGATTCATAGGAAAATGATGCTTAACAATTCCCTTTTCCGAACCATGCTCCAACAAGGGCACTTTCGAAGCTCCACGTCCTTCCCTTTCCAAGAATTCAATTGTCCTCTCTTCACCGCCTGCAGAAAATTATAGTACTTTAGTGAGCTAAAGAACAATTATGCATGTCTTTCAAAATTTTCAGGCACTTTTTACTTCCTAAATACTCATATAAGTAAATTCTACACAAATTTGAGATGTTGACACCAGCTTAGCAAGAATCTGAGAAACAGCTCTAACTAGTGACGTTCATAATTTCTGGTAACCAACTTATCACTAGACTAGCTTAACTGATACACACAAAGGGAAATCACACGCATGTATATTCGGAAAAGCATATTAAATTAGGCTGGATATCAGCATAAAAAAAATTGAATAATTTTTTTAAATGAAAAACAGTATACATAAGCCACCATAAGCAACAGATGGAATCAGGGGATGTTGGCTACAACCTCCAGTTATACATTTCTCCAAGGTAAAGCACACAAAAGGAAAAGGCAATAATAAACTATAATGGTCAAAGAAGTCAGCAGACTTATTTAAAACTTAACACATAAAACAAAACTTACCCAAACATGCCACAAGGTACCTTCCAAAGCAATACATCGCAAAAGATTCATAACAATCACGTAATATCTCAATGTCAACACTTATTGATGGCTTCATCAATGAAATAAACTGCATGAACATATGTAGAGTAAGTCAGAAGAATAATGATAATCTCAGCAAAATTCCCTTCAAAGTTGAAACCTGTAAACCAGCACCCCATATCATTCGGTAACCCAGCCCCCAAGTATGCCACATATTCATTTTTGTTCTTTTTCTCTCTTTACTTTCAGGAGTAAAGTACCAAGCTTACACATAAAGGAATCAAAGGACCCAGATGATCAATATAAATCACAGGCAAAAAAGGTTAAGGCAAGCACAATAGGAAAAAAAAAATGACTGCTAAAATTTCTATCAGTCAGCCTATGCAAAATCACTAGAGAACTCATCGGTATTGGTCCCGTCGGAGCTCGAATTATTAGTTCTGTTTTTGATCAGCCAAAGGGGTTCCATATGTTCACTGTTTTTCTGTAATAAGCATTAATCAAGACATTGAAAGTTGTATTACACAAAATTTCACCCATTGTTGGACCTTACCGATTCAATAGAATAGCATGGTACCATTAAGATGACTCCAATCAGAAATTTTTGCTCCTAAATGCAATACCATACAAAAGGATTAGTTTCAACATGTGAAGGTAAAATATAATAAGAAGATACAAATTGAAGGGATTGAGATCGAACCTCTGGATTCTTATATGTAGAAAGGTGCTCGAAGACAAGGTATAATGAAAGACATAGGGTCAAAATCACAAAGGCGCCCGCAATAAGAACAGCCCATGGAGGAGCAGTATATGCTGGATCGAATTGTAGTAGAATCGTATGAAAATTTGTCCTCATCAGTATAATTTACTTGCAGCTAGAACTTCAGCAATTCCAGACAAAACCAGCATAATGATCAACACCAAAATTGGTTATAGAATCAATGTAACTCCATACGGATTCGCCCCTGCCCAAGCATATTACCAAACCCTAATCAAAACTTTCAGCACCAAAAAATTCCCACAACTCTCAGTCAACTACAACATAATTCCAATTTCCCAAACCCCCTAGTCAACAATTTCACAGAAGATTCCCTAGCATATTTCAGTCAAATGATCAATTGAAAACCATAAACCCTGAATTTATCAAACAACCCCAGAAAAAAGAAGAAAAAAAACTACCTTATATAGAAAGATTTTAACATAAAGAACCAATCTTTATATATAAAGTGCATAATCTTCTCAACCCAGTAACCAAATTCTAGGCTCTTCATCCCCACCCCAAAAAAAAATCATCCCATATTAGACTATTAGTTCAATTAAATACAACATTTAAGGGTAAATTATGAACAGAAAGAACTAAGATATACCAATAATTAATCAAATATTAAAAGTTCAATGCAATTTAAGTTTAAATATCAGCAAAAGGGGGAAGACATAAACTTACCCAAATCGAATAAAATTGAAATTTAGATGATAGAAAATAACAGTGAAGATCGATGATTGCGGTTGACCGGATCGATGATAGAGTGTCCTTCAAAGATAAGATGGCGCGAATAAATAAAATATGCTCAAAACAAATTAATTAAAGGGATTTAATTAGTTTTATAGCTTTGAATTTTATCCCCAATAAACCCAGTTCAAGGATGTGCTGAATATGCTAATGCATCAACTGGTTGGTGAGAAGAGAGGTTGGAACCATACTTTTGAAGAGTTTTGTGAAAACTTTTTCCTAATTGTACCTTAATCTAATTTTTACAATATCCCAAAAAAAAAAAAAAAAAAAATGTACTCTTTAAAAAATTAAAATCTAATATCTAATCTAATATTATTATTATATATAAATAAAGTAGGCATTTTTGGAGAGCATTCGTAGCGTCGAAATATACTTTTTTTCGACCAATGAGAAGAAAGATTTGTATTTTATTTTTGAATTAAAAAATTATGTCGCCACCTATATTAAAGTAACAAATTAGATTTGATATATCTAAAATTTAATGCCACATAGATTATAATACACGAATTAAATTATTTTAATTAAAAAAAATAAAGTAAAAATATAGGAAAAGATAATTTATTAATTCAATACTACGAGTATAAGAAATCCAAAAAAAATATACTAAAAAATATTTAAATGATAAACGCTTATAATAAAGTTTGATACCTATCATTATAAGAAAAATTTTGATAGTATTTATGATAAGAAATACAAATTGTTCGTTAATTATAATTAAATTAAAATTTGTGATACCTACCATTATAAATTGACACATCATACGACACAAACAAAATTTCGTATCAATAAAAAACCCCATCAAGCGAATTTTGTGTTAGTAATTTTGTGTTAATTTTTGGTCATAAATGGTCGGGTAATTTTTAGCTTAATTTTTAAAATCCTATGTTTAAATTAGTATTTCTAATTATTACTTACATTGTATTAATTTGGGATACTCAACGATTATATGTTTATGTTTTATTTACTAAATGTTTTTTTACATGCAGATCTAACACATCATACGACACAAATAAAATTTCGTATCAATATAAAAATTCCATCAAGCGAATTTTGTGTTAGTAATTTTGTGTTAGTTTTAGGTCATCAATGTCCGGGTAATTTTTAAAATCTTATGCTTAAATTTACATTTGTAATTATTAGTTACATTGTATTTATTTAGGATACTTAACGATTATTTGTTTATGTAATGGCATACGGTTAGATGTTGTATACTAAATATATGGATGGCTTTGGTTATTTTTGGAGATGATGAAAAAATTGCAATGCATAGATTTGATTTTATACCGCAACAATTTTTCATTTATTGGTAAATATATTGATTTATTTTATATAAATGTAAAGATTTAATTTATATCAATTTCAGTTTGGCTAACATTTCACGGTTCAATTTATCCATTGATGTCGTAGGTTGGTTATGGACGAGGTTGGTGATTATATCAAAATAAAAGATATGGTAAAACAATGAATAATGATTTATGATTTAAATTATTAAAAATTTATCATTTCACATTAAAGATTTTATATAACGGAAAAAATATCATATTTACAATTTATTTATATTTAATAAATTCATTATAAATTATAGTTAAAAAAAAGTAAATATTAAACTTTTGTAATTTTGTCTGAAATTATTAAATACAATAAATCAAATAATTAAAATCTTAGATGAAAAAAACCGTGCATCGCACGGGCTTCCATCTATCTTGGAGGAGTTAAGAGAGAGAGTATAGTGAAGAATTGAAGCTTAGTAAATTGGTAAAAGAGGTGTGCCGAGGAAAAGCATGCGTACCTTAAATTGAGAGGAAAATCCCTCAATTTAATACCCAAGGTCTACACTAGTGAGAGGAAAATCCTCACCCGTGAGAGATTCGGAATCCGCGCATTAGTTGAGGGCATTTTATTGTGAACCGTAGAGATGGTGGGCCCTGGTTAGTTGTACAGTAAAATTGGAGGAGTTAAGAGAGAGAGTATAATGAAGAACTGGTCAATTATGAACAGTAAAACTAGAGGAGTTAAGAGAGACAATATAGTGAAGAATTGAAGCTTAGTAAATTGGTAAAAGAGGTATGCCGAGGAAAAGCATGCGTATATTAAATTGATTCGGAATCTGCGCATCAGTTGAGGTCATTTAATTGTAAACAGTAGAGCTGGTGGGCCCTGGTCAGTTGACAGCTTTTGTTTTTTTATTTTTTACTTTTTGCTTTTTAAAAAAATAAAATTAAAAAAATAAAATTAAATGGCATGTTGGTAGCCTGGTAGGGCCGCGTCAGCCTGCCCAACCGGCTGGCAACACGTGTATATTGAAAAAAAATTAATTGGTAAAAGAGGTGTGTCGAGGAAAAGCATGCGTATATTAAATTGCAATTTTTTTTTTTTTTTTTAAACTGCATGTCCTTCCTTGTTTTTACTGATGCAGTGACAGGCTCTAGTCGTATCACCTAATCAAAAGTAATTCCTAAGTCCTCTAACTAAAATAGATAGGGAAGTCGGGTCGAATCCACAGGGAAACAATGTTCTTTCACTCCTAATTAATTATTATAATCTAAATTATTAAGTAACCAATTTGTAATGTGTGAATTATACTAATAATTAAACTAAGCAAATTAAACGAGGGAATAATCAATAATAAAAGATCTAGGGTACAGGTTCACCAATAAATAATACTCCAGGGTAAAAATAACAATCAATCATTAATACATAAATTAACCAGATTACAAAGGGTTGTCGCTACGTATTATAATCACATAATTAATCTACCGGTATTAAATCGCATCTCTCGAATCTTGACCTAACCATTTATAGATTAACATGCCTATTGAAACTAAGCCTAAACATCAATTCTCATCTCTCGAATCTCGAATCAATATTGCATAACTCATACAATTAAACCAGGTCTAATCTAATTGCATAGCATTAAATCAATCAATAGGAAATTAATCAATCATTAATAATCAATAATAATAAATTACCCCTTCATATTATTCATGGATCCCCACAACCCTAGAAATAAATCTACTCACACATAATTGAATCTAAACTAAACAAAATATTTAAGCAAGACATAATTAACTAAAGGAATTAAATTGCTGAAAATAAAACAAGGAAAGAAATCGTACCAAGATTAAACGGAATAAATGAATTGCATTAACGAAGGGAAGTAGAGAAAATAATGATAACAAGAAAATACTTAAAAGCTAAATCTGGAATTAAGAAAACGAAATTCTAGATAATGAAAGCGTAATTGTCAAAATTAAGCTAAAAACGTATTTATACTAACAAATAATCCTAAAATAAAATAAAGATAAAAGAAATTAAAAATATCTAAAATAACGCGCGCCCGGTCAGGCAAGGCACCGCCCGGCCGGGCGCGCCTTTTTCTTCACTGATGCTTGCTCGCGCCCGGTCGGGCGCGCATCCAGGCAAAGCTTCACCCTTTAGTCTTCTCCCTCGCCCGGGCGGGCGCGCCTTTGGGCGAACCCTGTCCGGTCGGGCGAGTGCTCGGGCGAGGACTCTTCTTCACATTCTTTGGGCTTGCACTTCTTGGCCCAATATACATTCCTTAGCGGATCCAATGCCCGAGCTCCTCTTCTCTTCACCGAGCCCTTAATCACCGGATTGACTTCTCAAATACAGTCCTGGGCTTCGGAATATGATAATAGCAATGCTTTCCCGCTCCAATGCTCGCGATGGCTAAACTAAGTATTGGAAAATGCTCCAATTCTGCAATTTCCTGTAAAATAATGCCACAACTACAAAAACACTAAAAAAACGCATATTAGTAATAAAAGTGGCTCTAAAGAGCCAAAAATACTCCTAACTATGACCACGGGACGGGGATAAAACACTATATAAAATGAACACATCATGCAACATGCGTATATTAAATTGCAATTTTTTTTTTTTAATTTCTTTTACTGCATGTCTATAAATTATAGTACATGCTAGAGCTATACCTATCAATCTATCATCCTTCCTTACTACATGTCTGCATACCCTACGGATTAAATAAAAGCATACTAAGTAATATATATATATGTGTGTGTGTGTGAGTGATAGATTTTAGAACTCCTTGTCAAAATAATAATAAAAATATATTATGGACAAAAAAGCTTATTACTTCTAGATTTTGTGCGCCCGTATATTAGATTTGATATATTAGAGAAATTTTCGTATAATTATTATTAATAGAAAAGAAGTATAATATTATCCTAATTATTAATTATATTAGTATATAATATAATTATATCCTTAGGATAAGATTTAACATATGTTATTTATTTAATTACTTAACGATTATAAGATACTAATGATAAAAGGATATAATTATATTATATACTAAGAATAATATATCTAGATGAGGATTAGAATGGATAATAAATTAGTACTCCATCTCCATCAATCCTTAAATAATAGGTCGCATATTTCTATTTTGATTTATCCGCAAATAAATGTTCACTGTCTACTTTCACCTTTAACCTTAAGAAACGTTATCATGTAATCTCATAAGAACTTAATTACATCATATCAACAAAGACAATTCAAAAGTGGAGTGGGAATGTGGGATTGGTTCTAAATTACGAATCAAAATTCAAAGTCACTTGTTTTATATCAAATATTCGACTAAAAAAGGATAAACATGGTATTCAGACCAAATTTTTTAAAAAGACCTTAAATCAAATGTGCAGTAGTGACATACAAAATAACCTAGGAACATGTACACAAATCTTATTAACATTGTAATATATAATACGAAGTATAATGAAAGGCGTCCTAGAAAAATACTAAATAGTATGTTCACCTTCTTCATACGTTTATACTTTGTATTATTTTTTATTTTAATACTACAAGATTTATATTTAGGTTTGCAATCACTTCATAGCTAGCACACTTTCAAAACAAATGGTTTTAGTATTAGTAAAATAAACGAAAACCACTATTTTTCGTTGGCTCGTCGACTTTATTTTACTACTACGTATCTTTGTTGTAGTTGCACTTAGTGACAAAGCAAGTTCGTGGAACCACGCAAATTGATTTATAATAATCGTCTTTAATTACTATCGAATACTTGATGGTATATATTTTGCTACTTGTTAAATTTTTTTCTTCGGTTAAACTAAGGATTTATTTATTATAACCCCTAATATATATATATATATTATAACCTTTTGGTAGATACAATATTATAATGTACCATTAGATCATTTTGATATCACATATTAACAAAATATGTTAATATCCTTCTCTCTCCTCCCCTCCCAAAGCAATTCCTTCTTTCTCCTTCGCACAACCACCGTCGCGACTATAATCCGGCCGGCCGGCCAACCAAACAAAAGACACCCTACTTGCAAAGCATGTAAATTGGTCCCATACTAACCCTTTAGGGAAATTAAAGGAATTTACTCGTGTGGTGGTGTTAATGGTTGGGTGGTGGTGCTAATGGTCATGGGGTGGTCGTGGTGGCGGTGTTAATGGTCGTGCGGTGGTCGCACGATGGTGTTAACAGACGTACAGTGGTCGTGTGGTGGTGCTAGTGGTTGTGCAGTGGGTGGTACGTATGGTTGCGTGGTGGTGACGATGATGGGCTGATGGTGTAGATAGAGGAGAGAGAAAGGGGGCATGGCTAAGAAAATACAAAATTACCCTTGATATTAATATAGGATATTAACTTGTATATTCTCATTTATTATAGCCTTTTGGTAGATACAATATTATAATGTACCATTAGATCATTTTGAAAAGCTAAGTATGCTCATAAATTAATAATTAAATAATTAAATATTATATATATATATATATTTTTAATCTAATATTTATGTATCTAAAATTATTTAATCGCACGGGCTGACATTTTTAATTATTAATAGAAAAGAAAGACTATGCCTTGAAATTCTCATATAAGAGTTGCCTCTAGCCTATACCCATCTCACATCCTTTTAAGATGCATATCTTGTGCTTAAATAAATAAAATAAGGAACGAAAAACCTTGCTCACTATTAGGCCGGAATCGAGAAAACAAAAAAAAAATGAAATATGGGTTTAAAGAAACCTGTTGTAGCAACACTGCTTCTTGGGGGCAGGTTGGAAAGCGCATCATACTTAGTAGACGAAGGGGTTGTTAGTCAGTTTAGAATTATCATCCCAGAATTGCAACAATGACCAACAGTATAGACAAAATCTTTATAATATGCTTCATTCAATTGGCAAAATAAAAATTAAGTGCTGAACCAAAGATCACCCACTTTAGTAAAAACCATCTTAAATTCATTTAACATACTGAGAGAGAGAAAGAGGGGGGAGGGGGTGGAGGGCAGTCAAATTAATAGTTGATCACCACTCAGTAATTTAGATTGTAAAGAAGAATATAGGATAAAAAGGCATTATTTCATTTAGATAAGCAAGCCACACTGCATAAGACAATCCAAGGGATGTAGTCAGAGATAATCCCAGCAAATTTCCATGTCCATTTTAAAAATTGTACTCAAAGCCCATGCGCAATGTTCATAAATAATTTGGGAGCTAAAAATGTGTTAAATTCTAAGAAAATCTTAGTAGATAAGGCTACATGCCTACATCCATGAAGGAAAGCAACCCTCTTACAGTCCCAAATAAGACTCCATCCCAAAGCAAAAGACAAGCTGATTCTAATTAGTGTGTTAGGATTTCATAGGCCAGTTACAAAATGATCAGTATCTAGTTAAGTATCCTAAATTAATACAATGTAAGTAATACGGCCGGGTAATTTTTAGCTTAACTTTTAAAATCCTATGTTTAAATTAGCATTTCTAATTATTTACATTGTATTAATTTGGGATACTCAACGATTATATGTTTATGTTTTATTTACAAAATGTTTTTATTACATGCAGATCTAACACATCATACGACACAAATAAAATTTCGTATCAACACAAAACCCCATCAAGCGAATTTTGTGTTAGTAATTTTGTGTTAGTTTTAGGTTATCAATGTCCGGGTAATTTTTAAAATCTTATGTTTAAATTTATATTTGTAATTATTAGTTACATTGTATTTATTTAGGATACTTAACGATTATTTGTTTATGAATGACATACGATTAGATGTTGTACACTTAATATATGGATGGCTTTGGTTATTTTTGGAGATAGATGATGAAAAAATCGCAATGCATAGATTTGATTTTATATCGCAATAATTTTTCATTTATTGGTAAATATATTGATTTATTTTATATAAATGTAAAGATTTAATTTATATCAATTTCAGTTTGGCTAACATTTCAAGGTTCAATTTATCCATTGATGTAGTAGGTTGGTTGTGGACGAGGTTGGTGATTCTACCGAAATAAAAGATATGGTAAAACAACGAATAATGATTTAGGATTTAGATTATTAAAAATTTATCATTTCACATTAAAGATTTTATATAACGGAAAAAATATCATATTTACAATTTATTTATATTTGGGTAATAAGATGTCCATTCACCTTACCAAAGATGCTTTTAAATATTTGGGTAACTAACAAAGTATTCCATCATTATTTATGCGAATCCAATTAGCTATAATGGGCTAAACATAAAATATAACTGAATATTAGAATTGGCAACAACTCCTTTTCAATTCAAATTACCACCATCCTTAAGTAGCAGTTATTGAATAATTTATATACAGGCTTTTGTATAGTGGGGATAAATTCCCTACAAGTCTCATATTCAAAGTAATATCATGCGTAATAAAAAAATGAAAAAATTTCGATTAATTGGTCACAAAGTCCACCCCATCCTCATAATTCACACTCATGTTAAATACACTACGTATTATATAGCATGTCAGCACTGAGTTTCACTACATTTCTAAATTTTGTAAATTGTCTATTTAATTCATTTACATAAAACAAAATAAAAATCTAGACAATTCTTTCTATGATAAGACTAAATTTATGCACTAATACCCCATAATCATAAGATTCATAGCATCATTACCAAAAAAAAAATAAAAAAGAGGTCAAAAACTCAAAAATATCATAAAAAAAAACCAATCTCCCACCATCAGATGATTGATAAGCAAATCCAACCATCCATTTTACCAGCTGTACAAAAATCAACGCCTGAAAATCAATATTATTTCCATAATTCCATTTTATCTTCCTTATTTTTTTGTCGTCTTCTCAAACCATTAACCCGCAGAAAACTAGGGATTCTCTTCTTCTTCTTCGTCGTCATTTCTTCATCTTCTTCCACGTTCCTTCTTTCATCTTCAACAAGGTAACCTCTTTTTCTCTCTCCTAAAATTAGGGTTTCCTTTATTGAATTGAATCTGATTTTCGCGATTCGTCAAAATTCTTACTTTCTGTTAATTAGGTTATTGTCTTCATTGTTGATTCGATTCATATAATTATGCAGTTTTCTTGTTAATTTAACTTCAAGCGATGGATATTTGAGCTCGGTTTAACCTAATTCAATCTTGTTTTTTTTGTTGTTTTGTTGATTTTGTTTATCAGAAGATTTTTTTTGGTGAGATAATGGTATCTTCTACGCATTTGTTCGATTCAGTAAAGTATCGTCGTAAACCGGAATTTGATTTGTTATCTGCGAAGAGGCTAAAAGTTTCAGCTTCTGATTGTGTGGATTCTTTATCATATTTTGAGACGGATAATTATGACGACGAATGTATCAATTGTGGAATTTCAGCATCACCTGATCGGTATGAATTAGGTGTAATTTGTTGTTTTTCGTTGTCTTGTTAATGATGTTCGTGTCATTGTGGTTTCGGAGCGAAAGCTAATGATTTTTAGACAGTTAAAGTCGTTACCTTATTGTCGTTTGATTTAATTGAATCAATTCATCAATTTTTTTGCAGTTTATCATCTTCTTGTGATTTAGATGGTCAAATACCGTCAAGCTCAAACTTAGAGAGGAGTTGCCAAGTGAATGGCAACACAGATGCTGCTCTTCCTGCATCAGGTGCGGCTGGAGTTTCGTATCCCGCCAAGAATGATGATATGTGGGGATTGTCAGAATTTGTGACTGGATGGATGTATCTTAATGAGCAGGGTCAGATGTGTGGACCTTATATTCAGCAGCAATTGTTTGAGGGCTTGACAACGGGTTTTTTGCCGGAAGAGCTTTCGGTTTACCCTATTCAGAATGGGACATTACTGAATCCTGTGCAATTGAAGCTCTTTAAACAGTATCCTGATCATGTTGCCACAGGATTTACGTATCTTGGCAGAGCTACGTCTAATGTGTCCATGACAACAGATTGCCATGTTGCTGTTGGGCAAGATGCCCCTATAGGTACTCCTTCGGCTGATGATCAACAGAGCCATGTCCAGCAGCATGACTTTGATGTGACAGGTTTAGACTCGAAATTAGCTGCAGGGGTTGCATTGGTTCAGCAGGATGCCGCCCCTCCTGCATCTGGTGCTGCTGAAATTTCGTACCTTGCCAAGAACTATGATAGATGTGGGGATTTTGTGTCTGGATGGATGTATCTTAATGAGCAGGGTCAGATGTGTGGGCCTTATATACAGCAGCAATTGTTTGAGGGCTTGACAACGGGTTATTTGCCTGATGAGCTTCCTGTTTATCCTATCCTGAATGGTGCATTACTAAATCCTGTGCAATTGAAATTCTTCAAGCAGTATCCTGATCATGTTGCCACAGGATTTACATTTCTTGGCAAAGCTACTCCCATTGCGTCCATGACCACAAATTGCCATGTTGCTCCTGGGCAAGATATCCCTACAAGTACTGGTTCAGCTTTGCTTAATTATGATCACCAGAATCATGTCCAGCAGACCTATCACAACTCTGATTTCTCAGTTTCAGACTCAAAATTAGCCCCAGGGATTGCGCTGGTTCAGCAGCAGGTATATCCATTCTGGCCTTGGGTTGTAGTTTAAGGATGGTGATTCAGTAGGTGTCTTGTCATTGTCCTTTAACCTGTAATCTTTTTTGACTGTCTAATGTTTTTTTTTTTTTTTTTTTTTTTTTTTTTTTTTTTTTTTTTTTTTTAAAAAAAAATTTGTTGTTTTGAAGTCTCTTTCTTGGGAAGAGAAATGTTGGCTATTCCTGGACGGTTATGGGAGAGTTACGGGGCCGCATTCTCTTTCAGAACTTTACTGTTGGCATCAATATGGTTATCTACACAGCTCAGTTATGGTAAGAAGACTACTATTGCAAACTTGTGAGCATAATGCTCTCTCTTTTTTTTTTTAGTCTGCCAACAAGACAGATGTTTTAATTTTGTACATTTCCCTTCTTGTACAGATACGTAATATCGACAATAAATGTAGTCCTTTTAGTCTCCTGTCATTGATCAATGCATGGGAAAAAGATAGCTCTACCGTGACTGCATCTGAAAATGAAACTAGTTCGTTGGAGCTTATATCAGGAATATCAGAAGAAATTGGGTCACAACTGCATGATGGAATTATGAAGGCATCTCGTCGAATTGTTTTGGATGAGATCATTGGCAATGTCATTGTGGATTATGTTGCTAACAAGAAGGCAGAGAAACAGTTTAAAAATGGGAATAGTAGAGAGGATTTGAGAATTCGCTTGCCTGGTTTTGATAAGGTAAAATCATGCTTCATTAGTTTCCTTTGAGATTTAAGGGGCCGTTTGGTTCGCACAAGGGAATCGGAATGGAATGCAGAAAGGGAATGGAGGTGAATGGAATGAAACCCTTAGAATTTAGGGTGTTGTTTGGTGAGAATGGAGAATGGAATGAAACCACCATAGAACCACCACAGCTCAACTATTGCACCCCTTCCTTCATTAGTTTCCACCTTCTCCAGCCACCACACCGCCCAACCAACACCACACCGGAACCGGCCGTCCCTTTCCCGACCTTCGCCGCCCCTCTCCCGACCTGGTGAGGTCTGTCGAACAGCAACACCGAGGGTTGGTTGACAAGAGGACCCATTTTCTGTGGCTCAATCAACCAACCACTATACCTCCAACCCATGATCGGAACCTCCTAGAAGGTTCCGATCTCTGCCATTGTGGACCCCAACGAAGGTGATGCGATCATCGGAGAGGGTCGGCGAGGTGCGGCCGACGGATCTAAGTGGAGGGGGAGGGTTATGCGTGGGTGAGGGAATGATTTTCGGGTGAGAGGATGGGCGGCGAGGGTTGGGGGATGGCGGCAACATTCCGATGAGGGGCGGCGACGTTCCGGCGAGAAGTGGGTGAGGGTGGCTGATGTGGGTACAGTGGTGGTTGGGGAAAGGGAATGGGCAAGGCTAGGGGGGGTGGGGGAATGGGAGTAGAAGGTTTTTGGGTAATCAAAGGGGAAAGGGAATGATAGAAATGGAAAAAAAAAACATCAACAAAGGGAATGATTCCCATGGAATCCCATTTCCTTTGATTATTACTGCAAACCAAACGGCCCCTAAGTGTCTTGTTTGTGTAAGTCTTTTTTTTTTGCTAATTATTTTTGTTGTGGGACTTTGTTTTGATAGGGTGAAACTAATGTTGGGGAAAGGAATAATTCTGCTTCACATGCTGCATCAACTTCTTGCCATGGTGATGCTTCAACTTCATTAAATTCAGCTAAGGAAATTATTGAGGAGCCTTGCAGCATCCAATGCGTGAAATCTGTTGGCAGTATTGAAAATTTTCAAGGAGCCAATAAAGCAATTAGCCAAGCACTTTTAGAATATTGTATGCAGGTTCTGTGGAATGCTGTTTTCTATGAACCTGTAGCAAATTATGTACATACTTGGAGAAAAAACAAACGCTGGTCACATACCAATGCTGAAGGAGCTGCTGCTTTGGACAGAGAATTGACTGGTTTCCAGATGACTGCAGAAGTGGATAATAAAATTGTAAGAAACTTCACTATCAAAATATAGTTTGAGTATGGTTATTCAGTAGGCATCCTACTGATGTCCTTTTAAGTATTTTTTTTGAACTTCTTTCTTTGAACAATTTATCTCATGATTGTCTAATGATTTTCTTTAATTTCTATTTTTAAAGTCTCTTTCCTGGGAAGAAAAATGCTGGCTACTCCTGGATGGTTATGGGAGAGGCTCTGGGCCACATTCTCTTTCAGAAATCTACTATTGGCATCAATATGGCTATCTACACAGCTCTGTCATGGTAAGAGGACTATCATCCCAAACTTGTTAGCTTAACGCCGTATATTTTTTTTTTGTAGTTTGCCAACATTACATATTATCTGAATTTGTGCATTTCCCATATGTACAGATACATCATACCGATAATAAATGTAGTCCTTTCACTCTTTTGTCATTGATCAATACATGGGGAAAAAAGAGTTCTACTGTGACTGCATCTGAAAATGAAACCATCAGTTCATTAAAACATATATCAGGAATATCCGAAAAAATTGGGTCAAAATTGCATGATGGAATCATGAAGGCAGCTCGTCGATTTGTTTTGGACGAGATCATTGGCAATGTCATTGTGGATTATGTTGCTACCAAGAAGGCTCATAAACAGTTTAAGGATGAGAACAATAGAGAAGATTTGGGAATTGGCCCGCTTGATTTTAAAAGGGTATGATCATGCCTCATTAGTTTCCTTTGAAATTTTTGTGTCTTATTTGTGTTTTGTGTAATCTCTTTATTTATTTATTTATTTATTTTTGCTAATAATATTGTTGTGGGACGGCTTTGACAGAATGAAACTAATGTTGGGGAAAGGAACAGATCTGCCTTACATGCTCCATCAGCTTTCTGTCATGGCGATTCTTCAACTTCATTAAATTCAGCTAAGGAAATTCCTGAGGAGCCTTGCAAAGCTCAATGCATGAAATCTGTTGGCAATATTGAAAATTTTAAAGGAGCCAATAAAGCCATTAGCCAAGCGCTTTTTGACTATAGTATGCAGGTTTTGTGGAACGCTGTTTTCTATGAACCTGTTGGAAATTATGCACTCATTTGGAGAAAGAACAAACGCTGGTCACATAACCGCGCTGAAGGAGCAGCTGCTGTTGACGGAGAACTGACTGGTTTACAGAAGACTTCAGAAGTGGAAACTGAAATAGTAAGTTTGTTTGAGTTTGACAAACGAAGATGTCCAAATTCCTTCGTTCAAAATCTAGGTGAAGCATTGATTTTATTGCTACCTGTGCTGTGCAGAGAGATTTGGATGTACCTACAGATGAGCTTGATTGTCCGCCTGGATTCCATCGTATTGTGCAAGGTTCCATTATGCGTGATTCTAATTTCATGTCCCAATCTTGTTTAAGAGAAGATAAGTTGTCCGATCCCAGCATCCAGCATCAGGATGAAGACAGAGAAAGGACAATTGCAAGGGTAGAAGAGGAACTTTTTATGTTTGCCAAGACATCCATCGATGATTTCGTGAAGATTACTGTTGAAAAGGAAGTGTTTAAAGTTAATAAGTGTTTGAAGGATAATGGCACATACGAGGTACTGACAATGTTGAACTGGATGGAAAATGTCCGACCCCCAACCCCCCCCCCCCCCCAAAAAAATAAAAACCCCCTGTTTCGTAGTGTATTCTTTGTTTTGAGGAAAAGTTTAAATTTGTTGTCCTTTAGGTTCCTGTTGAAGATTCAGGAGAATTGTGCAAAGATACTGATATTGGAGATGCTGCTTCAAAGATGTTCCAAGGGCTGAAATCTAGACACATTTGCCTTGATGAATCTCCGTTCCTTTCACAAGGGACTGGTTCATTAGATCAGCCTGCTTTGTACCCACACATGGATTCTTCATCGGATTTTATTGGGATTGGCTCCAGTAGTGTATGTGCACCTGCTAGCACTGCAATCGATGTTTGTATAACTGAAGAACTGCTGGCCCCTGGAATTTCTGGTTTGAAAATTGAGTCAGGGGTTCAGGACTTGCAAGAATCCTTGCTCAATAATTCAGAGATTCCTATTGAGGCAATGAGATCTTGTCCAGCTGAATTTGTAGGAAATGTTTTCGAGAGATCGGGTATGCCTATGTGCAGTACGGTTGATGATCACAGAACTAATGCGCCCCTGTTACCTGGATCAGGGTGTGAAATTAAAGATGTGGTTTCATCAAGCATCTCCGACTCCCAACTATTAGGTTTAGGTGAGGGCACTCTTAAGCAGAAAAAATTCATGGCCTTGGCATTATGCCAGCAAAAGCTGCATGATGAAGTGCTAAGAGGATGGATGTCCTCTCTTCACGATGATATGCATCTTCTGTTGAAGCAACGTGATATAGTTCAGGTAAATTTTTTTTGCAGCTCCCAGGTACTCACAGGTGAAGTGAGCTATCCCTTGGCCCCTGAGGCCCTGAGCTGGGAAGATAGGTTTCTTTTGTATGATTTTTGCTGTAGGCCATGTGTGTAATATTTTTAATAATTTGATTTGGTTTATTGCCTGGATTTTTCATTTTGCATTTGCTGCAGGAGGAGGTCATTATCGAACCTGCTTCCATAGAGCCTGAGCTTGACCTTCTTATGGAAAGATCAAAGAGTTGTTACAGCTCAGGCCCATCTGAAGTTTCAGTTGTTGAAGAGTTTACTTATTCACGGAGAAAGAAAGTGATGAAATCAGTAGCTGAGCCAAGCTCTCCACCTTTACGGGATTTTAAGCTCCGTCATCGATCACCAAGGAAGTTTGGAAAACCAATAAATTCAAAGAATGTTTCTGGCTCAGAAGCTCTAGGCATTGGAAATGTGAAGCAGAAGGCTAAAGGAGTGGGCCGGAGAAAAACAGGATTATCTACTCTGCAATGTGTTCCTGATCCTTCTCTGAGTATGTTTTCAGTTCTTATGAATAGTATTATGTTACATGCTCACACACAGCTGGTATGTTATTAACCAATTCCCTCATTAGGCACTGTTGCTGTGGATGATCTGAAATGTGGAGTTCAAAGGCCTCCGAGCACTGAAGCAGATTTTGATGTTAAGGAAGAGCTTAGCGGCTGCAGCAGCATCAGTGACAGTGCCAAAAAGGATATATCTGCCGATCATTCCCAAAGGATAAAAAATTGTGAGTGAAATGTTGTTGAATGTTTTTTTGTATTGTTATAAGCAGAGTTTTTGGTTTCTTTATAAAAATTACCTTGTTAAATATTGCAGTTGGATAATTGTGCAATTTTCTTGTTTAATATTCTGTCACATGTTAACATATAAGCTGGGTTTTGGTTCAAAGAGGTGGTTTAGTGTGGAGGCCCATTAAAGTAGTAGTAGGGGTAAACTTACGAAGGATTAAATTATAGAGTTCAATATGGGACATCTAAATGTAATAGTTTGGTGCCATATATGTGAAGGACAGGGTATTTCTTTAACATCTTAGAAAGGTTTATTTGTTTATTGGGGGGCGGGGGTGCTTGGACTTAGCATTATGCAGCATAATTTCACCATTTATTTCATTGGAGGTAGATCTCAGAGTTGGAGTGTGGGCTGAGGATTTGGATGGTTAATATTAAGTGTTGCAAAGGTTTGTGGGATGAGTAGTAATGTCAGATGTGAAGGTAAAATTCTTCTCATTTCATGTCGGAGTGATAATGATGGCTAAGCAGGTAGCTGGTTCATTGTATTTGGTGTCGTTTCATATTCATTGATAATTAATGTCTACCCCCAATCCTGCTCATTTTTGTAAAGTGCATCTTGATAGGTCAATTTTTGTGCTCATGGTGTAAGGTAGTTCTGGTCACAGCAACTGCTCTATGCATAGTTATTAAACTCTTTTTTAGCAAATGGATGATAGAAAAGTTAGCTTAATTTTACCATTGCCTTCTCTTTGAGTTACTTGTACAAAAACAACAATATTCCTGTGTAATGGTGTCTTGTGAAGTTGTGATCTTGTTATCACTTATTCACTTTACTATGAAATTGATGTTTAATCATTTTCAACTGTTCTTTGTGTGCAGCTTCAACATCTTCTAAGATGAAGAGAAAGATTGTGGTTGGTGAATCACCATCATTTCCATCAAAAGCTCTGAAGGTTCAGGATGCTGACACAAAGCAGGCGGCCATCAAAACGGCTAAAAAGACCAAGTTGAGCAAGTCCAAGGTGCTGAGTTCCTGTCCTGTGTCTATTGGATGTGCTCGATCTTCAATTGATGGTTGGGAATGGCATAAATGGTCCTTACATGCAAGGCCTTCGGAAAGAGCTCGTGTCAGAGGAATTCAAATAACTACCATGCAACGTTGTACTTCTGATATTAGTGGTTCAAAGCCATCACGCGTAAAGGGGATCTCTGCTAGGACCAACAGAGTAAAAATGCGGAACCTACTTGCAGCAGTTGAGGGTGCTGAGCTATTAAAGGCTTCTCAATTGAAGGTAACATCAAAACATTTTATTTTCACCGTGTTTTGCTTCTACTAGCTTTTTTCATTAAAGCAAGGTCCTATTGCAGGCCAGGAAAAAGCGTCTGCGTTTCCAGCGGAGTAAGATTCACGACTGGGGTCTTGTTGCTCTGGAACCAATTGAAGCAGATGATTTTGTCATTGAATATGTTGGGGAACTAATTCGTCCTCGGGTATATGCCATCTCTGCTCTGCTCTGCTCCCTTTGACTTGCAGACTTAATTTATTACACTGTGTTTCACTTTGAGATATTGTATTTTTCATTCTATTTTGTCCGATGCTGATATGAATCTTGGCCAGAAAGAGTAGGAAGCAATTTCTTCTCTGATTCGGGGCTGTCTTTTTCCTTTTTGAGCGTTGAAGGCATTTAAATAGTGTTTTGTTTGTGCAGATATCTGATATTCGGGAACGCCAATATGAGAAGATGGGTATTGGCAGCAGTTATCTTTTCAGATTGGATGATGGCTATGTGGTGAGTAAATTTTGATGACTTCATCTTTTGTAACTGAAGTTGAATGATTCTGTTACTTCATAGGCTTTTGAAAATGATGTGGTGAAGCTTTTTGCTGCATTTTAGACACTAGTTAAATGGTAAGCAGGCTTATCTATTTTCAACTTAAAGAAATGGACCTCAATCGCTGATGTTACAGAATAAATGGAGAATGTACATGTATTTGTACATAGAATGCCTTCTCATTGGACTCCCTGAATTTTATCTTGTTCTGGTTGATGACTGATGCAGTATGGTTCAGTTAGAGGCTTCTGTAACGCATTTATTCTAGATCTTTCTTTATTGCAGTTGACACTCAAACTTGCTGTCTTTCATTCTTGAGTTGATATTTTAGAGTTAAAGTTATGTGACTTTATCTTCCAGTAAGTGCTTACATTATGTAGCCAATCCAATATGATTTGTATGGAGTATCAAATTACTCAAAATTGATTGAGGTTATGAATGCAATGCTTTGCCATTCATACAAGAATGAAATACTACAATCATCATGAATCTTGTTGATGGATCTTTAAGTCCCTTGCCATACATGTCTTTGTAAAATCTTATCTTTTGCTAGCCTAGTTTGCCATTTATACTTGAGCTCGTTTCAGAAAATTGTGGTGCTTAATTGTGCTCATGTTTGCATACTTCTGAAAGAAGCATTATGTCTTAGGAAACCCAAGCACTGTTTAAACTAGTGATTAGCTGTGGGATAGAACTATTTATATATATCTTTGTGGACTAAGACAGCAGGAACTGTTTATAGGTAGTTTAGAAATTGAACAGGACTGGGCTAATTTGCGTTCTGTATTTGTTGCTTTCAGGACAGCGTGTTCTCTGTTTTACCTTCTGCTTGGTGTTTAAATATAAAGTTTTTTGTTTTTTCTTCTTTTTTTTTTTTAAAAAAAAAACCTAGCTTGACATCTACACTCCCCACTTCATCTTCTCTTAAATCCTTGGGTGCTGAACGATGCTTATGATGCGTGTTTTCAAATGAAACCTGATAAACTAATGAGATGGAATGGTATGTACATACAACTTATGGTGTAGACGTTCTTGATTTTGTTTACCTTAGTGTTTTCTGACGTGAGGCATCAAGATGAGTTGTTCTAACGAGATTCTAGAAGTATGATGTCTATGGTTCATTCTTGACATAGTGTTGGATTCAGCACTATGTGTTATGATTATAATTCAAATGATCAACTGATTACCTTTTCTTGCTCTTTGGCTATGTGTTTGGTGTTCCACTTTGAACTTTGAAAGATATTTTGACAGAATGTTCTCTGCACTAAACATATTTTTTGTTGGGTGGTGGAAAGCAAAGGCACTTATCTTGATCTGTTGTCTCTGAAATATGTGTAGGTTGATGCTACTAAACGTGGCGGTGTTGCTAGATTCATAAACCATTCATGTGAGGTAGACATTGATGAGTTGAACTTCACTGAATAATTTCCATAGTTTTATTTAATTTTTAATTTTTTACTAACTGATTGTGAAACCTCCTCATTTCTACAGCCTAATTGTTACACCAAAATTATAAGCGTCGAGAGCCAAAAGAGGATATTTATATATGCAAAACGACATATATCTGCTGGTGAAGAGATCACGTATAATTACAAATTTCCTCTTGAGGACAAAAAAATCCCCTGTAATTGCGGTTCTAAAAGGTGAGTTGTGGACAAAAATTGGTGTAAATTAGTCTATGCTGAATTTTGACATTTGGGCTTTTTAAGTTTTTGAACATGCATCATCTTTTATCTTTTGAGTTGATGAATTCTACTTATAATGCATCACATTGCATTGGGTAGTTGTTACTTTTTCTTAGTCCCTACTTTTTGTATTGTATTTTCTATATTGGGAATCTGTCTGGTGCTGGTAATCTGACATTTTTTTAGTCTTTTTGAAATCATGTTCATTTTCCATATTCCTTTGGGTGTGTTTATATCTTTCCTACCTGATATTTGAGAAATCTATATTTTTTCAGATTAGGCATTACATGTTAATTTGTTGAAATATTCTATATCCAACAATATGAGAGAAATAAAATCTTTTCTCATTTTTAAGATATTCAGAACATTTAAGATATGACTTTTCCATTGGTTCTCACACTAATTTCTGGATCCTCTTTTCCCCTCCCATTTTCAGGTGTTGTGGTTCAATGAACTAGAAAGGGATTGGAGGCTCATGTTGCATTGCAGGTACTGTAAATTGCAACTTGTCTGTGTTTGCAAAGTCGTGTAAGTTTATGAGTGCTCTCATGTTGTCATTATCCTCCTCATTATCCGCCTCTTGTGTTATTTTATTTGAAGCTTCTACTTCTATCAATTTTTATGATTCTCAATGAAAAACTTTGCCCGTGTTATTGTTGTTTGCTATTTTAAGACCAATCTGACCTGGGTTGGTTGTTATTTTTGTTTTCCTTATTTATTAATAAGAATTTTGTTTCCTTTTAGCTTTCGCATAATTCACCATGAATATTTGAGAAACTAAGTGAAAAAGTTAGACATGAATTAGGGATTTGTAATTTTAGCATGAAGAAAACAAATTAAGGGCACATTAGGGAATATAATGAGGGAATGCAGCAACTACAATCTAAAGAAAAGCACCTTATATCTTTTAAAGGTTGAACATGATTTCAAACAGTAAAACTTAAATCGCCTAGAAAGAAGTTACTTGCACATCTGTCCTGTGACCCCATGTCCTAGGCATATGTTTAACCTTATTACTCCCTCTGTCCCAGAGTACAGACACCCCATGCCAATGTACTAGTTTGACTTCATTTTTATATAATTAAATATTAATGAAAATTATTTTTAAAATTATATTTTGAAACTTTATATTAATACCTATCTAACAACATATTTTATGATAAAAATATATTTTTATTATGTTAGTAAAAAATTATTGTCAAAGCTAATACATGAATAGTGAAAAAAGTCCAACGTCCCATGTATTCTGGGATAGAGGGAGTAATTCACTTGCTTGTGTCGCTAATTCAGTAAAAGATGTTCAAGTTACCGCTAGGAAAAAGTCTTCTGCAAAAGTCTACTGCATCCTGCTTTCTTGGCTCAATGTGTACTGTGCTTATAGTTGGTTATTCAGTGAACACTTGCAAAGCATTTTGCTTGTGTCTTTCTCCTGACATATATGAATACTTATACCTTATTTAAATTTTTGTAGAACAGTTGCTCAAAGCTGGAGATAACAATAAAATTCTGGAAATTTCTGTTGGTTATTTTCTTTTTTCTTTTTTTTTTTTTTTTTTTCATCTGTTGGTTATTTTAAACATGACTTTTTTTTTTTTTTCCTTTTTTTTTTGTTTTCACATTAATTAAGTCTCATGAGTCATGACTGCTATGAGGGTTACTGGAGGTGATTGATCTCTGTTTCCTGTCCCCTTGTGATATTGTGCTGTTATTTGAGATGTGATTTAACATATGGTGACTTCCTTGTATAACGATTTCATGTTAACACGTATTTCATATTTCTTTCAGGATTTGAATTGCAATGCCTATTGAGAGCCATATGACTTGATATATCATTTTTATCCAACATTAAGAGCTAAGTCATGTGCACTCTTGTAGATAGTCTCTCAACTGCAGATGAGTTTCTACCCTTGGAAACTGTAATGAGTTTATCCACTTTATTGTTTTCTTCACTTATAGTTACATGACATTCTCAGGATAATTATAATCATTTTTGTATAGAGTACATACCTCCCTAATTCTTTCAATATCAAACGGTAAATGGTAATAATAAAAACAGTAATTCATATCTATCTCCCAATTTAGTTCCAATTTTTCTTTATAGCATTTTGGTCTTTCTCATTTCTAATTACGTGGCTTAATATGTCGCATAGTCTGTACAATTATATGATACTTTAGAAGAGAGAAAAGAAAGGGGGAGGACATGGCTTGAATATGTTGCAGTCTGTAGAAATACATGATACTTTAGGGGGGGGTTGGGGTGGGGGGGGGGGGGGACTGAACGCTGCATATATTTCATTTGGCAACGTAGGTGGTGCCATGTGTACCAATGATTTAATTTTAAAACTTAATCTGCTAACTGGATAATGGGTTCTTCTGCGTTCTTGTAATATGTTGGTAGACCATGCAAAAATTGGTTGTGTTTTGTAACGTTCAGTAGTTCGTGTTTGGAAGATGGAGGTTATACTAGATGTGGCCTTTATGGGGGAAACTTCCATATGGAGTTAGGTAGTTTATGCTTATATTGTTGTGGGTGTAGGGATAATCTAGGAATTTTGTTTTGACAATATTCACGGGGTGACCGGGCATTTAAACCTTAAGGGCCAGGTGTTGTGGGTTTTTGTAAGGTACCTACGGAGTACATAGTTTTGACAGATTTTAGCAAATAATTTTTCAATTATTTTCCAATGAAGGGTAGCCAAAAATATTTTTCTTATTTGAAATGTATGGATGCAATCTTTCTCTATTTTGGGTTGTATTTTAAGGAAATGACCCTATTGTGTTGCGAGTGGGGTCTTTTGTAATGTTCAATTGATAGCATAGTTTGTCAATAGTTTTGTAAAGCCTTTTGTCTAACACCCTTATGACATGTTGATCTTCCTGCCCCTTGGACAATATCTACAGCTTCATGCTTCCTAGAAAATAATGTTTGCAAGCATGCTGTTCGGGCTGTCTTGTTGTATTTCCGTGCATATTAAAAGTTATCAGGATGATATTGTAAGTCAATATGTATGGAAGGTGCTGAGAGACTTTGATTTTGTTGATTGATTGTCACTGGAAATAAGTTGGTGTGAATGACTAATGTCACTCGAGACTGTATTTTAATTATCTTAAACCTTGGGTAGAGACCGATCTTGAAATTCCTCAAATGCTTAATTTTGTTTTTTTTTTTTTTTTTGTTTAGAACAGGGGTGGTTTTCTTAGCTTTAATTTTATTATGTTCGTGTTGAGCAATATTATATGCTTTGTCTATAGTCATAAACTCACAAATGGCCCAGTCAAACAAAAACAATATCGAAACGTTATGGTAGAATTAACAATTGTAGTATTTGTTTAATTTTCTGATGCCAAAATCTTGGCTCAAAGTAGCTGTCCTAATTTCACTAGTTAATGTTTTGGTTTCTCTCATATTTGTGTATGCACGTATTTGGCCCCCAAGGTTTCTCTCATAATTGGTATATAATATATCTTGTGCAGGAGCACTTGAATCTCCAATGGACCTTGCTATTGCCTGGGGCCAGTTATATCTTTGTGGTATGTGATCTCTTAGCCTTCTAATTTAATCATAGTTACGTTGCCAATTTAATCTTTTAGTGTGCCTCCATCAATAAGATGCAGCAAAGACATCTGCGCAGTGGGAGAAAGTGTGCGCGGACCTTTATATTGCAAAGCATCTGCCGTCTTGCTATCCATTCTCTTCCCCCTGGTCGGTTTTTTAGTAGTTTATTAATTTTAAAAGCTATGAAAAACTACCGAAAATGGTCCACAATTGGTCCAAGATTTCTGATCAATGGGGTTTAGCTTTCAGCCTTTCAGTAGTTTTATCTCTTAACAAATGGCTTGTCTTAACTCTTAACACAAAGCTAAGAATAAATGGGAGTTCAAAAGCTCAAATTATCTCTACAAAGATAACACAATATTTAGATAAGAAGGTATCAAGACTTATCAACCAATCTTTTTCATCAAAAAACAAAAAATTAAGACTATCAACCAATCTTGGAGAATGAATGGTGTTATCTTTTCTTTTGAAAGGCAAGGTTAAAATGCAGATTAGATCCGATATCTGATTTAGTGTTTAGTTTGTTTTTACCGTCATACCCGTGAGATGAATGTAATTTAGTCCACAAGTCTAGTTTAGTTGTCCCTGGGGAAACTCAACAGATAAGTCGCTAGCTAATATTTTAGGTGGTGCAAGATCTTCCTATCGTAAGCAATTGGCGCCGACGAGGTTTTGTGCTGTATGACCAATATTGGTTTAAAAGTTAACTAAGTTGGATCGTGTAAGCTGCAATGCCCAAGCATGTTTTTGTGCTTGGTATGGTGTTCTCTTTTTGTTGAAGTCTATAGATAAGGCTCATTTAGAGGTTTTCAACAAAAAGTAAATAGTGGGATTTAGTAATTTAGAGGTTTTCAACAAAAAAAATAAATAGTGGGATGAAGTAATATCTTGGGTGATCTTGTCCTAATTATTTAGAAATTGTTAGCTGTTGTGGGCAATTACTGCCTGCTCCTACAATATTACCATTAGACATCTTTTTATTAGGGACTAATAAGAAATGTACAATAATCTTGAAATTAGTAGTGAGTTAACACCACTGATACCTTAAGATGACAATTAATAGTGCAGGCACATTTTAAACTATGAATAATATAGAATAAAAGGAGTCAGGATATTTACCATGCACTCGGGTATCAAGGGATTCAAGGCTATTTTTGCTCCTACGCTTACAAGGTACAAGCACTTGGCTGTATCACAAGGTGCAATCGGTTGTTATATAGAAATATACCGAAGATTATTTGGTTAGTGATCGGAGTAATGTAATAAATTATTTTAACCTATAATGAAATTCGAAGTCTTAATGTGCAAATAAAAAAAAAAAAAAAAAAAATGCTAGTCTATCATACTTGGCTATAGGCTATATGTATATTCCACAATTAGAGGTTCTTATAACATGGGGTGACCATAACGTAAAGGCAACAAGTGTACTGATTCTTGGTACACAATCAGGTTGATGACTCGCTACTATGAAAAATATGTTGTGCTAAAGAAACACTAAATCAACGAATCTATGCTTTTGCTTTATCAACCGGCCTTAACTCAAATGGAAGAGTGAGAGGTTTAAGCAGCTTGGCCATAGGCATGCTTAAATCCCTTTGGTTGCCGGTTCGAATCCGGTAGGCCGATGCATAGGGTGGATATGTTGATTTGTGCCTGTTACTGATCATGGACTTTTTTCTTAGGCAAAACATTCCCCCTTCCTTACCTTTAAAAAAAAGGGTGAAAATTGCATATGCAAGCTGGCGTAAAGCCCTGCATGGAAAGACGTAGGTAACATATACTATGCAATATTGCAATATGCTTTATTGCTTTATTTGAATGTTTTAGTAAGTGTTTTGGAGTATGTACTATTGCCATAGTTTTCTTATATGTATTTTACATAAAAACATTATACTAAGAATTCGGGCAAAGGGTGGCTTTACGGGAATGTAAAAACGTTTTACTAAGATACACATTTCATGATGAAATGCCCATCTTATGAAGATTTGCCATAGTTTTCTTATCATTTATTTTGGTTTATATTATATGCCTATATGTTTTGGTCTTGCAAGCTGGAACAATTACATTTTTTTCCCCCATTTTTTCCCCCTAAAGGTACAAAATGGTAACTTTGGAAACAAATCCAAACAATATGGGCATACAACATTCCCGGGCATACAACAATCACATCTTGTGTGAATGTTACTCCGTAATTTATTAGTTTCACGCGTTTTATATGGTCAAGTACTTAATAAGGATTGTACCATTTAATCTTGGATTCTTGGGGATCCTTGAGAGCTATTTGAGTGTGAGATTCTCTTACTCTTTTCCCATCCTCTTTTTCTTAAAGTTTCTAACCTGATAGATAGGGTTGACCTATGTAGAATCCTATCTCAATAGGATCGTTCTTCTCACCTTGATAATTTTTTGTATGTTAGATTTAACATAAAACTTACTTTACCATAATTTTGAAGAATTAAGTATAACTTATACCCTCTTCTTCTCCAACCCACCCCGACCGCCCCTGATCCCCTCCATTTTGTGATTGGAAATAAATGGTGTATGATATTGCTTTAATTAATTAAGTAATTATAATTTTTCTCACTTACAGTTTATACATCGGACTTTGTGGTCTGCTTCATAAGCTGTTAATATGTAGTATAGTGGTTATGGTTTCTATCTTTTACACGTTATGTACTTGTATGTAATTTTTTTAGAAACAAATAATTGACAAAAAATACAGAGAAATTCTAAAGTTATAACTAATTTAATAAATAATGTTTGGAGTAAGAATGTATACATCTTCATATTTTCAGAATTCCAGTCCTCTAAATTGTTAGGAGAATCTCTATGTCACTCATCTATCAGTTTACCACACCACTTACTAAAATGCCAATCAAATACATAAAAATAAATTTTAGAAGTGCAAGGTTATGCAAAGTACTAACGGGAGACATAATAATCATACCAGTGCAATATAATCCTTCGTTTGCCTTCACCTATCTTCTTGAGCTTTGCATAATTGTTCTGAGTTTCTGACAGACTTTACTCGTAATCTGTTCCTACTCTGACATGACACGAATAACCCAAAACCATAAAACACAAATCAAATTATGGAGTTCAAAAAATTTTACTCCTATGATGGTTCAAAATATATACTCCGTAGTAAAAGCAGTATCTAATATAATTGGTTCACTCCCAAAATAATTATACTGTCTACAGCAACAAGGTTATAAAACCTTAAAATAAATATAATACGACCAATCAACATAACAAAGAAAAACTGAGTAATAATAATACATTGCGAATTTCACATCATACTGCACATAAGACAGAAGTACTATAAACATACAACTTCAAGGGTTGAAAATTCATGTGATAACCAATTCACAAAGTTACAAGTTTAAGACTCTTTATATGTTATTATGAGCATCGTGCTATAATATGATTGCATTTAGAAATTGCTAATCCACTGCCACATCCTCTCTGTTACAAGTGAAGAGTCTTAATGCATCTAATCAACAATTCTTTAAACAATAAGGCTCTACGCTTGTTGGACCGTAACACGTTTCACTTTGGATGAGGTAATGTCAATTATTACACTCTCTGTTATTTTTTAATTGTAACAAAGATATTCTTTTTGAGACATAAAAAATTCCTTTATTACAACTAAAAATTAACAGAGTTAGGCCCTATTCTTTTGAGCTTCTGAGCAGGGCAGATCAGAGCAGAACATAGCATATTTCAACATAACAGAGCAGAGTAGATTTCAGCAGAGCAGAGCATATTTTATTATTATTATTATTATTATTATTATTATTATTAAATATTAATTATTATTATAATAATAATTATTATTATTATTAAATATTAATTATATATTATTATTTTTAAATATTAATTATATATTATTATTATTATTAAATATTAATTATTTATTATTATTATTAAATATTAATTATTCATTATTATTATTATTATTATTATTATTATTAAAAATTAATAATTATTATCTTTACATATTAGTTATTATCTTTAAAATATTAGTTTTTATTATAAAAATCAATTAGTATTATTATTACCGAAGTATTATTTTTATTAATAATAATAATAATTATTATTAGTGTTATTACTATTTTTATTACTATTATTATTATAATTATTAAATATTAATTATTATTATAATAATTCAATATTAATTATTATTTTTAAGTAGAGCAGGACCCAGCAGACCCGATCAAAGTAGCTCTAAAGAAGAGGGCCTTAGTAGATTAACGTGAATGTCACGTCATCGTAGGAGTATTTTTTTTTTTTTTTTTTTTTTTTTTGTTTTCTTAGTACCAACTTGACAAAACTCTTTTCTATTCTTTCCTAGTTTTGTTGATCTTTTCCTACCAAATTAAGGAATAATGGACTTGGCGATTCTCAGAGAGTGGTTCGACCGAGTTGACTCGTCTCAAACCGGTAACATTACAGCATCTCAACTCAAGGTTCTTCATTTCCTCTTATTCAACCTTTAATTTTTCATTTTTCCAACTTTAAATTTAAATTTAATACCATTGTACTTTTGATTGAATTCATTTTTAGAATGCACTTGCTGTCGGAAATCTCGATCTCCCACTTTCTGTTGTTCAACAAATGATCAGGTTTTTCTATTTTTCCAGAAATTTGCCCAATTATTATTCTCTACTAATTTAAATTACTTGAATTATACTTTGTTGAATTCGTTTCAGGATGTATGATTTTGATAAGAATGGAACAATGAGTTTTGAAGGTATTTTGATGATAAAAATTTAGTTTAATTTTTTTTTTTTTTTTATATGCATATAATTGTACAATATGATGATTAGATGATTATTATAATTTTTTTTATATGATTAAGTTTGTCTAATTGCAGAATTTGTTGCCCTTAACCAATATCTTTTAAAGGTTAGTATATACAAGTAGCTTTCAAGTTTCTAGCATATAATTTTGTATATGATGACTTCAATTATGGACAATTGTTCCGGGTTTCGCTGTTTCGGTCCAATAGGGTCCTTCTCCTTACCAACGATAATATGTATAAAACTATAAACCCCTCCGGTTTTAGTACATTAGTTATGTATTCACTATGAAGCAAAAATGATCTTCTAGCCCAAGCAAAAATGATCTTCTATCCCATAAAAATTGCTGTAAAGAAGGCATTTTTAGCTCTCATTGGGATTATGATATATGAGTTTTGAGTCTTTTGAATCATGATTGTTTATGTTTGCCTTCTGTATTGGGGATTAATTGGTTTTGTTCTTGCTTTTAATGTAATCTCTGCAGGTTCAACAGGCTTTCTCAGACTTAGAAAGGTAGTTGAATTCTTACGTTGTTATTCTCTGTGATTGTATATTGATACTTGATAGTCATTGTCTAAGTGAAATTCTAAATGATCTGATTGCTGGAGTAGATGTCAGTCAGTTATACTTTTCTAACTGTATTTGTATCTAGTCGGCCATGTCTAGGAGTGTTTATTGCTGCATTTAGAAACTTGCAAGGGCCATGTTAGGAGTATCATTTTTCAATTGGCGTGCAATAGTTTGGCTTGCTTGGTCTTTTTGCGCTATTAATGCTGCGTTCTACTTTTGTCAAAAAAAAAAAAAAAAAAAAAACAAAAAAACTAGGATTAGAACAATAGAGATAAATTACCATTCTCTTCTTTAAATTTGACTGGATGTTTGGTTTTTATGTTCCTTGAATCCTCCCATGGCTTTCCATGATATTTCACTGCTTTTAAGAATATTGAATAAATTCTTGGCAAGCTTTAAAAGATTTCTCATGTTTTGTCTAGCCATTGCATTTCTACTTGGCTACATCCTACCTCTCATTTTCTTTTTTTGATGATGAATGTGGACCATGCCAGAGTTTGTAGCTCTTGTTAACTGGCATCTTGTCTTTTTCAAATTTAAGAATTCATCTATCTTTTCTCAGAAACGGTTATCTTCTTTCTTTTGCTATATTGCTATATGGGCTATCTATATCTGTTTGAAAAGGAGTTCTAGCATGTAAATTTTAAGGATTGAGCATTTTCATTTGGGCTAGGATCTCGAATATCAGCATGAAAGTGTAGCATGGATAGTAGAACAAACCTTCTGTGAAGAATTTTCTGCCGTTTATTTGCTCCCATTTCTATGTTTCTTTTTCTTGTCTGCTGATATTGTTAGTGAACCAGTATTGTGTAGTTTTAGATCAATATGTGGAAGAACTAGGATGATATGCTGCTATGATTATTGCTTGCTTATCATATATCAGTCTTCTGATGAAATTATATATCACAGGGGCCAAGGATTTCTTCTCCATGACGAGGTTCATGAGGTAGCCTTCCAATCACTTCAAATGTTTATTGGTACTAATGAGGATTAAGTTTTGTAACTATGTTCCTTGGTGCTTAATTTTTTATTTTTTATTTTTTTTTCAGGCTCTAGTGAAGCTTGGATTCTCACTTGATTCTCCTGCCTTTTACACTGCATGTGAGGTAATCCTTCTAATTCATTGCCTATTACCTGTATCATGCTTCTTTCTCTTTATCCTTTTTTGTATGTGAGTAAACATAAATCATGTTCACTTCACTCCTTTTCAGAATAGGTTCAAATAAAAATGAAATAATGCTCACTATGTATCCTTAGGCTTCCTTAAATAGCACTCAAATCACTGATCTGAGGACACTAAGTACCTGTAGATTTCATAATCAGACTTGCATAATCAGCTGAGCAATTTTTCATGCGATTTCTTGTAAAATATAAAAATGTGATCTTTATATTGTTTAAATAGATTGATAAATAGAAATCTGTGTCTTCTCTGTTGATGTTCTGCTTCTCACTTTCTCTGCCAACTTTTCCAGAGCTTTGATCAAAAGAAAAATGGGACGTTCCGGTTGGATGCTTTTATATCTTTGTGCATATTTCTACAATCTGCTCGGTAAGTGATATTGCATGCAAGTCTCTCTGATTCAGCTAGGCTGACCACCAAGGCTTTTTACTTGTCTTGGCATGTGGCTTATTGAATTGCAATTGTTTTTCCCTTATAACAATATAGTAACTGCTTCTATTTTGGTGTTTCAGCAATCTTTTTAACTCCTTTGATACAAATAAGCAAGGCAGAGTGACTCTTGATATGAACCAATTTATTTACTGCAGTGAGTATTCTGTTTTTATATCCTTTTGCCTTTCATATTATTTGGTTCTAAGTTGCTCCATTTTCTTTTGTATCAACCTATTGCATACTGTGAGATTTAGCATAAAACTGGGACTAAAAACCACTGGAATATTGGACCATGAGAGTCTCATCTCCTGCCTCAACTCTTGAGGGAGAGGGAAATGTGATGTGGAAAATGATGAAACCAAAATAAATAATTTCCCATTTTCGGGCCGTGGGGTTTGGTATGAATGAAAACTTATGGTATGAGACAGTGAACATATGCTCGCTTTTTTTCTTTCTTCTTTATTTTAATCATATTCAAATTACAATTATCAGCAATTCATGGAAGTAGTATTTCTTCAAGATAATATCATGTTTTAATTTTCTTTTGTGGAACTGTAGAATTTTCTTTTGTTCTCTTGAACTCCTCAAACAAACATGCTTTCCGTTGCATCTAAGAAGGTCATACTAAGAAACTATGCCACTTTAGCTTCTCTTAGTTTGTGTTTGGTTTGTTCATGAGAGAATTCTTCTAGATTGAGTATGATTTTCCTGATAGAGGAAAATTTGCCGTACTTCCCATAAGGCCATAATCCCATTGCATGCTTTGTTACCTCCCTATCATCGATCTGCTTCTCCCCTTCCTCTACTTTTCCTAGCAAATTAGCAAGTAATATATATGGAGTAATGAAGATTGCAAGCTAGCAGAACATCTGATAGATAAATGTTGTACTTTATAGTAAGTAAGAATCTGTTAAAAATATGTTATGTTATTTTTCCACCCTGTGACAGCTGCGAATTGTAGAATATGAGGTTTCAATCTGGTACCTAGCTCATTCTTTGCCCCAGAAGATCGTTGTGAAGCTGTACATTTACACTGATATTGTATTTCAAACCAGCGGCAGTTGACTGTGATGCTAGTCATGCTACACAAGTAATACAAGAGTGGGACAGCGGATTTTGGTTCTTGTATTAATATTGTTATCATCTTCTCCTTATGTATATGACTTTGGCCTTTTTTTTCCTAGTGTAAATTCCAAAAATCAACAATTTGTATGTACATTACATTTACAGAATTATTGAAACAGAGCTGCGCTTTCAACATCTTTATTTAACCTTGTTATCTCTCTACACGTCTGAGAGTTTAATCCTGACACTTTTCGCGCTGTTAAATCTAGTATTTACTAGTCTTTAGTACTAACACTGGCCAATTTCATACACATTTTTTATGTAAATTCTTCTAATTAGCCATGGCCATCAGGAGGTCCCAATAGTTTTCTGTTGAAAGAAAATAGAATTGGAAACGTTACACGCAAGCCACGGATAAATAAATTGACCTGAATATTCATACACTCCCAGCATATTTCAAATCTATCAAATATGTACGCGTATGACACATAAATTATTATAAAATTTACTTACGTGCAATGTCAAACAAAATCTAATAATACGTAGTAATTCAAATCAATAATCGAAAATAGATAAATCCTAGAGTATTACGCGTATAAATTAATACACGCATTAGACAAGTGTAAGTAGCTAGGAAATTATAGTGGATAGTAATTGTGATAGTTCAATCCCCTCATTAAGGAGAAAAGTAAAAGCATTATGATCAAAAAACTAATTAAGATGTTAAGATGTTGCGCATGTGTTTTATTGGAGGCATTATTTATTAATTAATTAAATAATAATTTATCTAATTTTGATAGTGAATGTATGTGTATGCTAGCTAGGTAGTGTGTCCATGTAGTGATAGAAGTCCCAATGATATGATCGTTTTTTGGATAGCAAGCGTGCTATCAATATATGGTAAGGTCAACCCACATTTAAAAAATTCACCCAAGAAATTATAAAATCAACGAGTAAAAATGAATGCCACTTGTCGTGCTATGCTTTCATGCAAAAGAGATGAGTTCCAACATTTTATCTCCACTAGCCAAAGTTAAATGGGAACGTTTGACAGAGAATATCATGGGTTGGTAGAGACGTATAGTAGAACTACTAGTTTGAGTGGTTTTCTTTTCTACGTGGTGCGTAAATGTGTCGAAATGGTTACTCTTTTCGCTTCATAATACAATAAAGTATAATATTATCTATGTATGAAGTATTAATTTTCTAGACATATTTATGATTAGTATTAATATTTTTGTGTACCAAGAATATATATTTATGTAAAATGTACCAAGGTGAATTCATTTTTGAAAGGGTGCTTTGACATGATGTTCAAATTGCATGTAATTTGGGTGATAGAAGACTAATCATACCAAAGTCATGTTTGAATTTAAATCACCAAACGAAATCACTAATACCACCTCTCTTGCACCACTGTCTCATGGTTGTCTACTTATCATCGTCTTCACATTATGAAAAATTAATTAATAATTTACAAGTCTTCTTGAATACTAAAATTTGTGAAAACTTGTCAAGTTACAAAGTAACTACGTAATAAAATTTCCCATTATCTATACTAGCTCAAGTTATTAATCTATTATCATAATAACGACAGGTGTAAATGATATCAAAAGACTATATAATGAGTTATTATATAGGGCACACTATCTAATTTATTTTAACATAAAACCTTTTGAAATTCTTAGACCTGATTATTGACCATGATTGAAATTTACCAAATTGCAAGAGAACAAACATTTCATGATTGAAATTTATTGGAAGATATTGGGCGGACCTAAAATCCTAAATAGATTCCGGAGTATATAAATTTTTTAATTTAATTTATTTTTTTTTTTTTTTTTTTTTTTTTTTTTGAAGTGAAATGTAAACACGCACCCTTGATTTCAACAAACTAAAGAGCATTTGTATTACTAGACGATCATGCATTTAACTAGGTAGTGTTATCTAAATCCCCTCTCTCAAACCATTAGTTATGAATTTAGCTTATAATATATGATTTGTATGTATCAAAATGATTTAGCAATTGTATGAATACATAAGCTAATGATTGCGTAAAAAATGTGAATGCAAGTTTGCAACCAATAATAAGATAGGAAAAATATGAATGCATGCGTTTCTTTTCCGTATGATAAGCAAGTCAAAATATAGTGGGAGGAAACTTTATTGACAAGAATATATCTTTTTATAAAACATTACAAAATACAAGTATATGATTAAAGAAGAAGAAGACAGAATGCAGGCCACTATAGTTGCCAATGAACAATCACCCACCGCCACAACAATGCCACCAATTCAAAACCACTAAGTTATGACCGTGACCCATACACACTTCCTTGTATGATTAAACCCCCACCTATCTTTAGAACGTACTAGATCTTTGCCTTGCCCTATATATAGACCTTCCATTTTTACATGTTGGTACACAATCAAGCATTTGTGATTATTGATCTCTTAATACAAACATCTATAATCACTAATAGAGTTCAGAGATAACAAACATCCAAGAAGAAAGAAATACGTACTATTATCTCATTTGTCACTAGCTAGTTGATACAATCTTAAGTTGTGATTGAGTCTTAAGAAATGGCCAATTCTAAGGTCATTGGGGCCATGTTGGTGGCTCTACTTCTTGTGGAGATATGTGTTGCAATTAGGGTACCGAGAGGGGTTAGAGTAAGTGGTGGAGGAGGCGGTGGTGGTGGAGGAGGTAGAGGAGGAGGAGATGGTGGTGGCAATGAGGGATTCGGGTATGGGTCTGGATCAGGGTCTGGCTATGGTGAGGGATATGGGAGTGCAGGTGGTGGAGGCGGTGGTAGAGGTGGAGGCGGTGGTGGAGGGGGAGGAGGAGGTAGAGGGGGTTCGGGGTCTGGATATGGGTCTGGGTCTGGATATGGATCCGGATATGGGTCTGGTGGAGGTCTAGGTGGTGGTGGTGGTGGAGGCGGAGGTAGAGGAGGTGGTGGTGGAGGGGGAGGTGGTCATGGTGGCTCTGGCTATGGCTCAGGGTATGGTAGTGGTTCTGGTTATGGAAGTGGTAGTGGCGGTATGGGAGGTGGTGGAGGTGGAGGAGGGGGTGGCGGTGGTGGTGGTGGTGGTGGAGGAGGAGGTGGCAATGATGGTGGCTCTGGATATGGTTCTGGTTTTGGTTATGGTTCCGGATATGGGGGTGGTTATGATGGCGGATATCATTCACCGTAATAAACATTCAATAATGTCATCGATCATGCAACTAGCCTAGCTTCCATTGTTGATCTTACTTTTAGTTTGTTGTATTTTAAGGTTAAATAGTTGTGCATGCATGTAATTTTGGTTCATTATTTGACTTGATGTATACGTACTATTGGGGATATATGCATTGTATTTGCATATTGTAGAATATATCATATATGTATGGTACATTGTTACTATCTAATGATACCATCATTTGGTATTTCAATAAAACAAACTTTCTTAAAAACATACATACTTGTACATCAGATTTCTTGATCTTCAATGTGAAAAATCTTGCTTGAGTATACATTTATACGTATGCATGTGTCGAGCGTTTATTGTTATTAGAGGTGATCAACAATGGCCCGGCCCGCTAGCCCGGCCCGAAAATAGGGCGGGTTTGGACAAGCTAAAAATCGATTTTTTAGTTCAAAGCCCGAACCCGGCCCGAAAAAGCCCGTTTTGGCCCGACAAGCCCGTCACTTTTGGGCGGGTTTGGGCATGAGATTTTATATTAAGGCCCGGCCCGGCCCGAATTATTGATCACCTCTAATTGTTATTAATCTTACTCATCCACTTCAATTATCTCCGATATCGCATATAAGCAAAGCTAACACAAAAGGACATGAGTGTATTATACATCAGTCTTCACCTAGCTAATAATGCTTTAATTTTGTGCAAATTATGCAAGCAATCGACAAAATGATCATATACAATGTGAATATGTGATACAAGTACATGGTTAGTCTTTTTATTTTTCGAAATTAAACCTTATTGCTTGAAGTACTCCATGATTGATCAACAAGAAAATTATAAGTACTAGCATAAATCATCCCTTAGTATCCAAAACTTACTTTCCTCAGAGTTAATTCTAATAAAAGAAAAACATGTAATCAAACATATTATCAAATTATAATTTCATTAAGAGTTTTGGATTATTATGTCTACTTCGTAAGTTTGTATGACAAAAACTAATCTTATTAAGTGCAAGTCACTAACTCATCATAAAATTAATAGTGAACAACTGAACATACATCATGTCTTTTTTGTGATATTGCAACGGCTATAATTAATGGATGGATGTTCTATAATGTAAAAGCACATATATATATGAATTCGAACAAATGCAAAGCATCCATCGTTAACTTCTTGCTCGTGTTTCTTTTGTTCACTTAACCTCTTACTAACTCATGGTAGACATTCACAATGACCAAATGACATAACACATGAATGATGAATATAAAGGACTACGTGACTATATCATGTCTCACTTGGTACCATTATACGAAGTTGTGGTGTGTAGTGTACTAATGTTGGTTGAAGCAAGGATATGTGATGGTTTAATGGTTTACATGGAGCTAAGGTTGGTGGTGGTGACGATGGCTAATCTACCGATGATGATGATATAGTCTATAAGTATATTCGTACCGTTGGTCAAGGGGCAGGGAAAGGCCATGTAGGGTTGGAAAATCGATCATGTATCAAACTTCGTGTATGTGACTTAACATTTTGAATATCAAATAGATATCTAGAATTTTAGATTGTAAAGTTGGATTCTTGATGTATATATATGAAAAACTTTTACTAGTATAATATTGGTATATTATTTACATAACTTTGTTATATTGTGCGTCTTTGTCAATTCAATTATTATATATTATACTCTAATAATGAGTTTGCTTAATCTTTGTTCATGTCGAACTCAGTCAATTATTGAACAATTGTCTAATATGGACACTTCTTATTTTTTTAAAATTTAAATTCCATTTATTATTAACAAATTTGCCACTAGGTTTAAAGAAAGTTCATGATGGTAAATTAAAGTTGGATAATGCTAAGCTAACTGCTTGGGGAACTTCCATTCTTTTCTTAATTACGAGTAAATCCGTTCTTTTTATTACAAAATCTAACTTATCTTAATTAGTGTTTATGGGAAAGGTAATCACATGAATTTGAATTTATGATATTTAGGCAAATTGACTACTTGAATTTTGTCAACTTTTTTTTGCATAATCCTATAAATATGAAGTACTCGTAATACATAATTTAAGTTCTCAATTTCTCATCAAATGCAACATGATTAAACCAGAGTGTTTTTTTTTTTGTTTTTTTTTTTCTTTTTTTTTTTTTTTTTTTTTCTTTTTATTTTTCATTAACTGTAACCAAATCTTGAAAGATCAACGATACGAAATTTGATAATCATCATGAATCAAGACTCGACATTGTACCTGTCATATTATTTGGCCATTAATAAAGGGCGGTTGGTTGGGGGTTGGGGCAACGAAGGGAGAGAATGAGGTGGTATTGTGGTAACATGGTCATTGAAGGTACGTAAGTACTCCGTAAATTGAATTTATAAAGATACCGTCTATTCATTTTGCCAAAACGTCCATTAAGTGAGCTGCTATTCGTCGTTCCCAATTTACAGGGTGACGCTCTCATTTTAGGAGGAAATGACCTTTTTGCCCTTATGTAATTTTGGCCTATATATGGCTCCACCACATTGTCACTTGGCATTAAAAAATCCCGAGTCCACCACTTGCCTTAAAAAAATCCCGAGCCCACCACTTGGATTCAAAAAATCACGCGCCCCCAAAAATCCCGAGCTCACCACCAAAAATCTTAAACCGTTTACCGGAAAAAAATAATCAAGGTGTAGCGACTGGTCGTGGACGATGAACGACGGCGACGATCGTACGCCGGAGGCTTCGTCGGAAGAATATGTATGTCGCTGAAATTTTTTTTTTTTTTTTTTTGAAGTGGACATCCGCCCAATTTTTCCGGAACATAAATGGAGGATCTCCTGTGGAGGATCCGGAAATTTCAGGCGGATCCTCCATTTATGTTCCGGAAAAATTGGGCAGATGTTTTTTTTTTTGCTTATTGTACGTTATTGCTATTGTTATTATTATTATTGTTATCGTTGTTGTTGTTAAGATGATTATTATTATTATTATTATTGTTGTTGTTGTTGTTGTTGTTGTTGTTATCGTTGTTGTTGTTGTTATTATTATTATTGTTGTTGTTGTTGTTGTTGTTGTTGTTGTTATGTTATTGTTATTATTATTAGTCTTATTATTACTATTATTATTATTACTATTACTATTATTATTATTATTATTATTATTATTGTTATTGTTATTGTTATTATTGTTATTATTATTATTATTATTATTATTATTATTATTATTATTATTATTATTATATTATTATTATTATTATTATTATTATTATTATTATTATGATTCTTATTATTGTTATTGTTATTATTGTTATTGTTATTGTTATTGTTATTGTTATTATTATTATTATTAATATTCTTATTATTGTTATTGTTATTATTATTGCTATTATTAATATTATTCTTAAAATACTAAGTTTGGCGTGTTTTTTGTGTTTGTCATGTATGTTTATAGGATTCTGAGGTTGAAGGAGGCGGTGACGTTGTGAATTACAGTGCAAATTTTGTGACAGATACGGTTTTTCGAACGTTTGATGATGCAGTTAAATGGGCGGATGATGTTGCCATAAATCTGGGATTTATTCTGGTGAAATCGTCTTTCAACAAAACCAGAGATGGTCGACCATATAGGTATTTGAGATGTGATCGGGGACGGAGGAGTAAGCCGAGAGATCTTGAGAACGCAATTCGGAAGGACACAAAAACCAAAGCCAATAGTTGTCCTTTCTACATCAAGATATACTACGAGTTCATCACCGACAGTTGGATTATCCGGGAGAAAAATGATGAAACTGGGACCCACAACCATCCAATGATTGCGTATCCAGAGGGACATCGTAAAATTAGTGGGTTGAGCCTGGATGCGAAGCAGGTTGTGCGTGACATGACGAAGTCTAAGGTTGCACCGCGTAACATCATGGCGACTATTGCCGAGCAGTTTCCTGATGATCATCCAAACATCAAACACATCTACAACTGCCGGAATGACCTGAGATCGGAGATGTCTGACGGGAGAGGAGTTGTTCAGCAGTTTCTACATTTGGCGAGACAGAGTCAATATCTTTACTGGGTCATGTCTGATGATGAAGGCGTTTTACAGCATGCCTTTATGGCGCACCCAGTCACGGTAGAAATCTTTCGGACGTACCCATATGTGATCGGTATGGATTCCACTTACAAGACCAACCGATACGGGATGCCGTTCTTTGAGATAGTTGGTGTGACACCGACAAATCAGAATATCCTCGTTGCTTACGTGTTCATGTGCAACGAGTGCACGGCAAGCTGTCGATGGGTTTTGCAGAGATTGAGAGACTTGATTGGGTATAATAAGGAACCGTCGGTTATCAAATTCCAATCCATTTTTTATCAAATTTTAATCACGAAAAAATTACATAACAACAATACATAACAATAACAACAAAAACAATAATTATATTAGTAAAAAAAAAAAAAACATATCAATAATCACGAGGAAAAAAAATTTCGAAATTAATAAAAACCATAATACATAACAATTACACATAACAATAACAATAAAAAAAATTAAAATTATATTACTAAAAAAAAAAATTCATATCAATAATCACAAGGGAAAAAAAATTCGGAAATTCATAAATAACATACACATATCAATAACAATAAAATTATATTGCTCACAAATAATACAAAAAAAGAAATCGACCCAAAAAAAAAAAAAAAAAAAAGAAATCGACCAAAAAACACAGAAAACAAAAAAAAAAAAAAAAAAAAAAAAACAGAAACCCAAGACTTCCGCCTGAAATTTCCGAAAGTCTGGGGAAACATCCAGAAATTTCAGGCGGATGTGGGACTTCCGCCTGAAATTTCCGGAAGTTTCCCCAGACTTCCGGAAATTTCAGGCGGAAGTCTGGGTTTTAACTTTTTTTTTTTTTTGTTTTCCGAAATCTGAAACAATAAAACACCAACTAACCTGCTCGCCGCCCCCACGACCACCGTAAGTCAGCCCAACGCGTCGCCGGTCCGCCATACCCGGATTCAACCTTCGATTGGTGTTCGTTGTTCTTTGTTTGACTTTCAAAGTTTGGGTTTTTTTTGAAAAAAAAATTTCTGATTTTTTTTAAAAAAATTTCTGACTTTTTTTTTTTTTCTTACAATTTCTGACTTTTTTTTTAGAGAGAGTGTGTGGGTTGTGAAATGACTTGCGAGTTTCGGAAGTGAGTTTCCCGAGTATTTATATACGAGGGGCAAATTAGGAAATTCAAGTAAAAAATGCGAGCGTCACCTTGTAATTTGCGAACGACGTTTAACAACACCCTTTTGTTAATCAAAATCTAATACAAAGTGTTATTACAAATTTGCTCAATTATTTAAATACACTAGGGTGGCTAGCGCGCACAGGTAGTAATGTTTAGAGAGTGCTTTTAGTTGTTGGCACTATTATTTAAATATTCACAAATATTTTAGAGGATATAATTGTCTAAACTCATAAAAGTTAAGTTATTAAATCACACAAAAAATTGTTTAGATACAATTAACATCATATTAATAGGGGCATATAGGTAAACAAGCATTTTAAGGATATAATTGTCCTCACACTATATACAAGTGTTTTCTAATATTTTTTAGGGAAATTCTCATTGGTAGCCATCAAGTTTTGCTAATTATCTTTGGTGGCCAAAAACTTTTTGAATTATCTAAATTAGCCATATAATACTGTAACTTAATTAATTATAACACTAATGACCATTATTAGCCACTTTTAAGATTAATAAGTAACTATGGTTAACCCATGATTAATTTTCAAATTAAAAAAAAAATTAAAAAAAAAAAAAAGGATGGAAAAAAAGAAAAGAAAAAAGTTACCTTTCATCACTTCCACAGTTCCACGTATAACTCCAACTAAAAACATCACTTCCATTTACTCATTTTCACAGAAACCATCCATCTCCACCATAATTCGAAATTCAACACCATCTTCTACCTTTCAATTCTTCAACCTAAGAACTAGGATTCGTGATTTATGAAATTTTCCACCAAATCAAAAAGAAATTGTGGTTTTTTTTCAACCATTGGAATTTACAAATTTTTGGGTTTTGATTGAATTTGACGGACGACGTGTGGGTTGTGGTTGAAATTTTAACATAAAGATCCGATCTTATTGCGTAAATATTCAGTTATGTACTCTAAGTTTTCAATTAAGTTAATTGCTTTCGTGTTCTGGAATTTAATGTCCTCTGTTTTGTGATAGCATGTCGTGTTATTCAATTGGAATGCAGGGTTTTTATACCGTGTTTAATGAGTTTTTTCGTGAATTAAATGTAGAATTAGGGGGTCATTATTCTAATATATATATAAATATATTAGCCTATTGTGTTGTATTTGTTGCAGAATGAATGATCAAATAGTGCTAAAGTTTCAATACAGGGGTACGGATACTGATGTGGTAGTAGATGATATTGATAAAGTCAACCTCATTGACTTAGTTATTGAATATTGGGAGTCAGTTAGAAAGAATGGGAAACCAACACCTTTGAACCATCAAGTTTTGCTAGTTACAACAAAGATTAAAACATCCCGCATAATCACAATCATGAAGAAAAGGAGGAGTATAAGAATGGCGGAGAAGGTAAATGGGTTTTCTCTGGTTTACGGTTATATAAAGAAGGGGAAATGATTTTGGAGGGAAAAGGATGGTTACAGTTTGGAGGGAAAGTAATATGTAAGGGTGTAATAGTAATTATATTACTTAATTACACTTAAGTTAACCATAGTTACTTATTAGTTTTAAAAGTGGCTAATAATGATCATTAGTGTTATAATTAATTAAGTTACAATATTATATGGCTAATTTAGATAATTTAAATAGTTTTTGACCACCAGAGATAATTAACAAAACTTAATGGCTACTAATGAGAACTTCCTTATTTTTTAAAAGGTAGGGATATACTCAATTATTTATTTATTTAATTTTTTTTTAGAGATTATATCTTTTTAGGAAAATAGGAAGAAGTGATTTGCATGTCAAAATTTACAAGTGGCAAACTTTCATTGGTCATGAATTACAATTCTAGCTCATCTCAAAACATTCGAAACCCAAAAGTAATCCCAAAACATATCCTCTTTTTCCCTTTTCTCTCTCCATATTTGATCTCTTTCTTTCTCTCCCATCTTTTTCTCTTTTCTTCTACACTTTCATAGAAAACTACTACTCTTACTATTCTAATTTTAATTATTTTTTTTTTGATAGTACATAATTTTAATTAATTATTAAATTAAAGATTCATTTATTTTTTCACACACTATTATTAAATAAAGGGAATTTCTCAACGGTGACCCCCAACTTCTGCTACGCACCAATGACCACCTCCCTTTTTTTATTATACAAAATGACCCTAATTAAGAAATTTATCTCACATATGACATTAATGAGTGTTATTTATTTTTTTTTAAAAAAAAACTGACTATGGTTAACTTTGAAAAACAAATAAAATAAAATAAAAACTAAAAATAAAAACCACCAACCCAGCCACCACCTTCACCTTCATCCCCACCACATGTAGCCAGCCCCACCTACCAGCCAAGCTCCCCCCGCCGGAGACTCTGCTCCAAGCTTACCCCGCCGGTGACGCTGCTCAACCTCGACCACCGCCCAAGCCAGAATCCCCAACCCGCCAAAGACCCTCCTTCTCTCTCCTCACCGCCACCACCACCTCTACCCTCTTCCTCACCTCAACCCAATATTCCCCACCAGACTAAGAACCACACCGCCACCCGACCAAACCCACTGCTCATCCTCCCACCACAATCCACGAACCCCCTTTTCTCTCTCCTCTGACCTCTCCTACGCCTAGATCTAAACCCGACCGTCGCTCCTAGTTCGATCTACAAAATGGCGGTCTGGGGGTGGTCAGGATTTTGAGTTCGGCAACCTAGTGGTGGTGACGGGGAGAAGGACGAGAGGGAGGGAGGGTGGGTTGTGGGCGGGGATTTGGGAATCTGGCTTAGCGGTGGTCGAGGTGGAGTTGACGTAGTGTCACCAGCGGTCAGGGGAGTCTGGGTAGTGTCGGCGGCGATCGATGAAACCTGGAGTAGTGTCGCCGGAGGGAGATGGTGGCTGGTTTTTGGTGGTTGGGGTTAATTTTTTTAATTTTTTTTTTTAGAAATCTAACCATAGTTAATATTTAATGAAATAAGGTTATGAGTGAGATGAAATTTTTAACTAAAAGGCCATTTTGTATAATAAAAAAAAAAGGGGAGGTGACCACTGGGCGTAGCAAAAGTTGAGGGTCACCATTAACAATTTCCCTTAAATAAATCCATTAAAGCACCAATAAAATAAAATAAAAATAAAATCCAATAAATCCATTAAAACACCAATAACATAAAATCATCGTTATTGTTAAGGGATTTATTTCCCTTAAATAAATCCATTAAAACACCAATAAAATAAAATAAAAATAAAATCATCGTTATTGTTATTACCAATACCAATTCTTTCTCCTTCTCATAAAAACTTCGTCTTCGCAAAATTCCCCTATTTCTTCATATTTTAGGGTTAGGGTTATCTTCTTCTCTTCGATCGATCGATCAATTTTCCCCTTTTCCATAACCATGGGAGCTGAAGGAGATTCCAGCGACGCCGTTCCTGTTACCGTCGGCGAAGTTTCCGTCAACATTCGATGTTCCAACGGCTCCAAATTTTCCGTCAAAACTACGCTTGATTCCAACGTCGGCGCTTTCAAATCGCTTGTTGCGCAAAACTGTGATGTTCCTGCCGAGCAGCAGAGGTTGATCTACAAAGGTCGGATTCTGAAAGATGACCAAACCCTAGAAAGCTATGGTATGTTGATTTTTTCGCCGATTTTTATCTTTTTTATTTGTGATTTTTGTTGAATTTGATGGTTTTTGGGTTGATGTTGATTTATTTGGTAATTTGTGAAATTCTGTGATGAGAGATCTGTTTGAATGTTAGCTGGAGCTGGTTTCGATTGAGAAATTATTTGGTTTGGGATTGGGATTGATTTTCGTGCGTAATTGATATATTTTTTTGGATGAATTGGATCTGATTGTTGTTTATTATAAGAAGTTTTGGGCGGATGCGTTGATATCGTAGTTGATTTGTGGCTGCATTATGCGAATTTATTAACTCGTATGTGTATATATGTCATTATTGGAGTGGCATTGCATTTCCTCGCATCCATTGTAACCTTCGGTTAACTTCTTGATTTTGGTATTGTATTGATTGTTCTTATTTAGGTGCCTAGGTTGTGTGATTTAGACTCTACTTTGTGCCTTATATTGAAGGTTATGTATTTTTTTTCATAGCAATGATTCATGCAATGTTCGTAATTGTTTTAGCGAACATTTTGTGGCTTAATGCTTTTGATGTTTGAATTTGTGAACAAGAAAACTCCAAGTGTTCTTTGATATATGTTTGCGATTCATGAGCTGGCAGCTAAGCCAATTGAACATGGGATTTGAGAAAGCTCATTGTAGTCGGAAGTAATAGGACTACTAGTTGTCCTGTGTGTTCTATTTCATAGCTTGGAGATAGCATTTTACTGTTAATGTGCTCTACAAAAATCAAGATGCTAGCTTTGTCAATTGTCGATGGGGATGGTTAATTTGTTGAATTTCACTGTCTACACATCACTTCATGATATGTAATTTCTATCGTTTTAATTTTTCTAAAGATTTTGACTGAATCTGAATTCTATTGAACTCTTAACAAAATTTCTAGGGTTGGTTCAAAATGGATTTATCTTGAGTTTCTCAGTTGTGAGGTAGTGGAATTACAAACTTATGAAAATATTTTACACTTTATTTTTGCGCTGTTAAATATGTTTGCTTAACTATTGCTCCTCTCAGCTTTGAAATGATGTCTCCTACCCTTTCTACTTCTATGATGGTTTAAGGAGGAAAACACATCTCTAAGTGTTTCACTGGTTCCTATTGAACGTTTCTCTACTGTCTAAACGTTGCTCCTATTTAGCCTCCCGCTGAATGACCTCTTCACTTGACTATGTGATACTCTTCCCTTTAGGAAACTTTTCTTTACAGATGGCTCATTAATCTCATCACTTGTTGATGTTATTTTCAAGAAGTTTGCAGCTTTTCCTTTCATCTATGTCAGTTCCTTTGTAGAATTTGATTGAGAAATGGTTGTAGCTACTAGATATGATTTGTTCAGAATTTTGAATCATTGGAGCCTGAATGTTCCAGTGATACTTTTTTATTTGGTTGCCAATTTTGTGATTCACGTCAAGCTGTCTACTTATCAATAGGAATAGAGGAAGGATTTTGTCGTAGAGGGTCAGAGCTGATGAATGGCTCTTTTTTCTTGATGTTAGCGGAGACATGTTAATGTGTTATTCCGAATTTTCTAAGGAGATGGAATTTATTATTTTCTTCTAGAATGCAGCCTCACAGACTCATAGTGATGATTTTTATGTGAACGCCACAAACGAAATGGTTGCGATAATGTTGACTTGCTTTTGCTTCTTTATGATTTTGTTGTGGAGATTTACCATTAGTGAGAAGCATCAGAAGCCAAAGATTTGTACGGTTATGGTCATTAGGAGTCGAGAACTCTATCCCACAAGCTAGATTTTTGTCTTCAGTAGATTTTTGTGCTTGATCGTTGCATGGTGCATGCTTCAAATTCTTTTTTTCCCCATTTTGAAATTCTGAAGTCTACTATTTTTGCATTACTTTTTCAAGAAGTATTTTTCTGTATTAAACCTGTGATTGTTGAAGAGAACTTGTTAGGGGTTTTAAAGTGGTAGGTCAAGTTTATGCATACTGCTTCAGCTGTATGATCTTTGTGTTGCATTTAACACTTGGGGGGAGGAGAGGGGAGGGGGGGGGGGGAGGGGGTGGGTGGGGAGGCCGAGGGTCCTTTTTATCTTTAAATTTTTTTCTTCACCTCATGTTTTGTACACTAGCGTTTCTATTTTTGAACCTCTTTGTTTCATTTTTGTAAGGTTTTCTTGATTGATTTCAGGTGTTATCCACCCAAGTCCTTATCTTGTTTTGGTCTTCATTATTTTACATTGTCAAACTAAGCATTGTGGGATTTGCGGTCCGGTTTCATTTTTTAACTTCCTTTTTCCTCTTGTACTTAAAAATTACACCATTAGATTTTTGAGGTAACTTTTTTTGATTTGTACTGTATTATGATTTTGCTGCAATTTTGTTAGATTTATAATTGCCTTTTCCCTCTTGTACTTAAAAATCCGTGATATAGTTTGTACCTTATTAGTTATCAAGAGCTATTTCTAAAGCCTTGTATTTGTTTATGTACTTGAAAATGATCTTCCTTTTACGTTTTCCTTGAAGGTTTGCAAGCAGATCATACCATCCACATGGTTCGTGGTTTTGCTGCATCTGCATCGACTGCTCCTTCTGGAACTACGAATTCTGCTGCTTCTGACACTACCCCAGTTTCTGCATCTGCTGCTGGTCCAACAGAAAGTGGAGGTTTAGGGAGTGCTGGTCTTGGGGCATCCTTATTTTCTGGACTTGGCCTGGGTGGAACTGGTGCACCTCCTCCTGGTTTACTAGGAGCTGGACTTCCAGATTTTGAACAAATGCAGCAACAACTTACCCAGAACCCAAATATGATGAGAGAAATAATGAACATGCCTGCCATTCAGGGCCTGATGAATAATCCAG